CCATGCGGTGTACTGCCCGGCGTATTAGGACCTGTACTATTGAAAGGCCTCAAGGTCAGGGACACGTACTAGAAAGCGTTCTCAGAGTTCGCCGTGTAGTGCTCCAACTCTTGATTTCCCCATCCATCAGTGCCATTGCCTGTGTCTGGATCCCATTCATCGTGAACCGAGAGCCCTGGCTGGAATCGAGGCTGCCAATAGACTTGAGGCTGGCTGGCCATGGGCTGCTGCTGGTGCGGGGGAGGTTGTGACCACCCTTGCTGAGGTGGCGCTTGCGACCATCCCTGCTGAGGCTCGGACGTCAAATTGTCCCACTCATTCTTCAGGCGCTTCAACTTATCTTTCCAGGGCATTTTGGTTACGGAAGATCTTGTCAGGCAAGTTCGGCTGACGGTCTATGACGGTTGATACTTTGATGCTGCGACAATCATTTTCGCTTGATTTTGTGGGCTGAGCAGAGGGGTTGTTGACGGGACACGAGTACTACGTAATTGCAGGTCAGCGAAACCCCACAAGTATCTTGGCTGCTTCGTGTTTGAGGCAATTGTATTTGTACCACCCTACAATGACTGAATTGGCTCTCAAAGACATGCGTTGTTCTCAAAATACTCACGAGCGCCTAGTATTGGCATGGAAGATGTTTTTCAGTTCCCTAAACTTCGCTTCACTCCTGCTTGCGAGGGCTGTCCAATGCACTGACAGTTGTTATCACTTGGGTGTTCCAGGTCATTACCACAAATTCTCCAGGACATTTTGGCGCCGTAAGTGCCTTGCTGAGAAATTGGACGGCCGGATGACACCATTTCTAATGATCTCCCAATTCAACACACCACTGAAGGTCAGCTAACCAAAAGCTGGCTTAGGTCAGGAAAACATTTCACAGGCTGTAGCCATGCCAAAGCTGGATTCGCGATAATATCCCTCTATATGGCGTTCAACCACGCCGGTTCACCGGGAGCCCCCACCTACATCATGGAAGCGGCCCCGTATTCTCTGCGTTCCAAGGCGGCCATTTTGTATCAGTTGACTGGGAATCTTGTTGGCGTTTGTCACAACTTTGCCAATCCGGTCTCGGTAGAAGCGATTGAGTGGAGGTACTACATCGTTTGGTGCGTTGTAATCTGCATCGATTTGACCTTGATCTATTTCTTCTTTCCCAAATTAAAGAACACAGGCCTCCAGGAGGTGGTAGAGATTGTTAGAGGGCCTAATGTTTTGTCTGGCACGAACGTGATGAAGCAGACTGGCTTGGATGTTGAAATAGTGTAGTCGTGTCTACGGCTAACCAACATCTCAAGATATCAAATAGTACTTATCCAGAGAGAAGCGTTGTTAAGATAACAATACAAATCGATTAAAGAGTAGCTCTTTTGACGCAGCATTGATATTGTCCTATCCAGCTCCACGGGCTGTGAGTCGTTGGTGAGATCACCACAGTGAAGGACCACGTCAGCCCTAGGAAGGGATGCAGGTATAATCTCTAAATCTTTGCCGTGAGTGTCGGAAAGAATCATCATCCGGATATTACGGCGTTGCCGCTGGAGACTCATATATCTGCCAAAGATGGTACTGTTATGATTGAGCTGACAGAAATACGTGAAGGATAAGTGAACAGGGGGGATTTTTCTGTGTAGCATGTTGATAAGGATTGTGGTGGAATGATATGTGCAAAGTATATAAAGGTCAAGAGGTGCAGTATATGTAGGTCAGGCGACAACACCAGCGCATTGGGCTGCAGTCACAGCTAAATCAGGTGCAGATCATGATGGCTGACATAACGTACTGTAAAATCTCATATTTCTCCAAAAGGTACAAACGGGACGACGAGCTGGTCGCGACCTCGGAATATGTAAACCTAATCAAAGCCCCTATGCCTTAGGTAAGGAGGAAGGCAGAGTACACTATGCAAGAATTGAACCAATTATTCTCTCATTGTACTGTGTTTGGGCCAGGGCTTTTTGAAAGTTAGATATGATTGTTGTAGATGCCTTGGATTGCTTTTCTTGTCTCCCATCGTAATTGCGGAGTGTCTATATTTCTTTTCCTTCTCTTTCTACTTTGGTTGAAAAGCTCTCGTCAGAGAGACCATAGCTAGTTAGATAAACTACGTATCTAGCCCGTGACACTATACTTTAGAAAAGAATTTGTATTTAACTACCTAAATTTAGCCAAGACTTTTCCTTATAATGTCTGAGACACTTAATACGCTTCTTTAAACAAATATTGTCAGGAAAGATGCCACAGCTGTTGACAAGCACTGAAGATGCAGCATATTCTATCCAGCTGAGTTGCAACTCATCCGGGTTTTCGACATATTTTGTCTCTTGTGACAAACGAGAAATAACGGGAATATCAAAATTTCCAGAACTTCTTTGGATTGTGTAGATATCACGGAGAAGTAGAAACTGGACTCAGCACAACATTCAACGGCCCACTTCTCCAAAAGGGGTATGCCTGTTGACCTTCCAACCAGTTTTTACTATCGTCTGCCAACTTCCAATCAAAAGCAAAAACCATGTTAGCTATGACAAGTCGCATCTCGGCATGTGCCAGACTAGATTGATTTTCGTCAGTAAGGCATTGACATTGTCAGAGATGATAGCACACGGAACGCACCCTCGTCCTGCACAGTCCCTTGGCCCAACATTGAATGGCTCAAAAGCGTCGCGGTGATCTCTGCTTTTTTCAGAGCTATTCAGGTATCTCTCCGGTCTAAATTTCCATGGGTCAACCCAGTGGGTACTACTGTGGTTCATCGACCACTGCTGGCATTCAATTAACGTCCCCTCGGGCACGTAGTGGCCTGCGATATTGCCACCCCCTTTCCTCATTGCGCGCACCATACTTCCTGGCACCGATGGGTAAAGTCTCATTGCTTCGTTTATGCACGCTAGCATATATGGTAGCCGACTGACGGACGTGACGGTGATATCCTCGGCGCTCTTGAACGTCGACCGTACTTCGTGCTTTACTTTCTCCAATGCATCCGGATGTTTAAGCAAATAGTATGCAACTCCATTCATCGATGTTGCAGTCGTTTCATACCCCGCCATTAATATGAATCGAGCATTGGCCCTTAATTGACGGTCGTCGAGTTTCTGAACCCAGACTCAGCAAAGTCACTCAGTTTAATCGAAGAGAGGACTCGATACGTACCCCCTCCTTGCGATATCTCATCAACCCCTCAAACAAATCCTCTATTTCTACCTTCGCACTTATCCTCCTATGCACCTTCTCTACTAGGGCCGATTGTACATTGAAAAGCAATCGCTTGATCACAACAACGCACAATAGCTGTGTCACCCACAGCATCCCTATGTAATTCAGTACTACGAGAACCATCCCCTGGGACCCTACCAGGCCCCGCATAAACAAAGGCCACTCTTCCTGATCCAAGCACCCGAATGACTCTGCAAAGATCAAGTCGCCAATGATATCGAACGACGCCCATTGGTGCCACTGGGCCATGTCTACCGTCGCCGACCCGCCTGATCCTGCCTCAGCATAGTCTCGCAGCTTGCGAACCAGGAGATTGACGTAGCGCCGGATGCGGGGCTCCTGAGCACGGAGCGCTTTGTCACTGAATCCCGGGAGTAGCGCGTCGCGGAGCAGGGAATGCTCGCTACGGGTTGCCGAGATAATCGTGGTTGGGATGCCTGGGAAAAAACCATAGTGGTACTTGCTCTTTGGGTTCTCGTCGAGCTGCCAATCCTTTGAATCGCCAGAGACTGGTGGGCGGCGGTCATAAATGTCCTTCCAAGCACGAACATCGGTGAAAGAAAGGTGATTAGGAGAGAGTCGGACAACTGGCCCGTATCTCTCATGAAGAAAGTGTGTATAAAAGGGGGCCTGGCCTTTGAAGATGTAACGGCTATAGGGAATGGGGGACATGCGGTTAAGGAGAGGGCCAGGGATGTTGCGGAGCGGGTGGAAGAAAAGGTTGTAGAATGAATAGAGGACAAGATATGACACAGCCTTGGATACGTGGTCAGTCGATTTTTCACATTTCATACTTTATGCAAGTAAAGAGCGAATGCCTACAATGCCCGAAATGGTGTAGAAGTAGAGCATCACGCGAGACGTGCCCGTGCCGTCGCTACTATACAGCACCATTGTGATAAAAGTTCTGGAGTCGCGCTGCGAATGGATAGTAAGGACTGAATTGTGTTGACACAAAGTCCAACGACCTACAATGAACTCGGGTTCATAAGCCCTAACTATTCAACACTGGATACTTGGGACCGAGAACTCCAACATAGTGCCAAGGACCTGACTCCTGCGGCCAGGTAGAAAAAGTAAGCCTGCATGGAGACTTCTACAATGCCGGCGAAAACGCGAAAGTCGCCGGTGGATCGCAAGTGCTAAACTCGCCGGCGCTCCAGCTGAGTATGCCGGCACTTGTACAGCCCTCTACCTATCCGCGCATATCTATACGTCAACCAAGTTGTATGACTTGTAGAATTCTTTGAGATGCTCACTTTGGAAAGGTCATGATATTTCGTCAACGCTTACTCGTTTATCAACGCATAGATCTATGCAATGTGCCGTTTCCTAAATTGCAGCGACTCACCATCGTAACGCAATGTGAGTCTTTCTTAGCCTCTAGTCGTGTTTCTTGAACCGCCAATTGTCGAATATGGGGTTTTAGCCTCTGTCAAGTGTAATCTCGGTAACAATTGTAACACAACGGTCTTGAATGACAAGCCTCCGATGCCGGCGCTTGACGCCCATTCTCTTCTTTTTGATGAGATTTATGTTGTAATTTGTGTTTCTGTCTGTTAGAGTCTGCATTCGTTTGTCAAGCTAAGATTCTGCAAATCGTCTGCAGCTGACATTGTGCTTGGGCTATATAAAATTGACGGTTCTATTCATGTGAAGCTTGTGCAATTGTTGATGAATGTGAAAAAGTCAAATATAGAACTATTCAGCTAGAAATACAAAGAATAATAGAAAACCACATAGACCCCAATATAATCGATCGAAGTGTTTCTACTCCACACTCAATCAAGTGGAACCTCAAGAACAGAAATTTCAGCCAGACTCGTAACAATGGTTTGCGCCTCTTCGGCCTTCCCGTTAAGCTTAGGCTCGTCGTGGATGACGCCGTTTGTATTCTCATCGTTGTCTGTTGAGAGAATAGGCTCCACTGGGGCATCCACTTGAATTGGTGCCTCGTTACTCTCTACCTTCTCCTCAGTCTCTTTTGGTCCCCCATCCAAACGACCTAGGATGTCTTGAGGAAGCTTGTCGAGGATTGAGTCCACCAAGTCCGCAATGGAAGCACCGCTGAGGATCTTCATAACAGGGACCTCAACCGCTAGTTCCTTTTGGAACCATGATCTCACATTGACTGCCACAAGACTATCCACGCCCAAGTCTACCAGCGGCGTTGTCGTGTGCCGATCATCACGGTCTGGCAGGAACTTGGATACAACAAGCTTATCTTGAATAGCTGACAGGACTACCCTGCGCACATCGTCAATCGTCTTGATCGAAGAGGCCTCGAGAAGCTTTCGGACTGGTATGGAGGAAGAGTCTGCACCTCCATCCTGGGCTGAACGGGTTCCAAGTTCTCGAATCATCATGGCCATCCGCGGGTTCTTAGCCCAGAACGTGCCGTTTGCCTGTTCGCCTTGCTGGACGCCGATGCCCGCGATGAGCCCGGGATCAGTGACACCCGAATTAAGTCTGCCCGCCACAACCGCCTCAGCAAAGAGCTGATGCAGATCTAGTTCACTAAGTGGAATAGTACCCGACTTTTGCGTAAGCCGCTCCTGCGCCTCGCGGGTAAGTTCTCGCTCGATATAACCTACACCAGTTACCCGACCAATGTCGATACTTGAGGCTGCCAAGCCCTGGTCACGGCGGCTTTTGATTACCGCCTTGAGGAAACAGTTGCCCGCTCCGTATGGCGCTTGGCCAGGATTTCCGGTCACAGCCATCAGCGAGCTAAAGCCGACGAAGAAGTCCAGTCCTTGCGCGCTGTCGTCCGGAAGAAGATCAGGTGACTCTTTAGAAAAGAGCTGATTCAGGTGCAGCGTACCAATGATCTTGGGTCGCAAAACGGTCTGGAAGTCCTCGAAACGCTGCTCCATGAAGCTGCTGTCGACCAACACCATGGCACCGAGGGCAATACCACCGATTGATGGCAGTCCCGAGTTGCGAATTGATTCGTACGTCGCCTTTACAGAGTTGTAATCGGTTACATCGCCTACAAAAAGCGACACATTTACACCATTCTTCTTGTGCCAAGCAATCCACCCTTCATCCACCTTCGCTGAGCGACTGCTGATGGCAATATGTTTGGCATTATGCGCGGCCAAAAAGTCCACTAACGAAAGGCCCAATGTACCGGAAAGCCCTGCTAGCCAGTATGTTCGATCAGGATGAAACAGGTCTTTGCGCATGAATACAGGCTCAACAGAGACTGGAACCTTGCCTTCAATTTGCCAGTAGATCACAGAGCCCGCCTTTGGTGGGATAGGGGACAGCAGAATCTTCGCAAGAGGTACAACCTCGGGCGGTGCGCCACCCGCCATGGGCAGGGGCCCCATAGCTGAAAACAGAGTCGCGAAGGCAGCCGCGCTCTGGAGAGAGCTGGTGATACCTTCAGGAGCTGCTCCGGAAATGGCGCTGGCGTAGCGGCTCGTTGGTCCCAAGAGCTTGATCTTATCGCATACAGCAGGGAGCGCGGCCACAATGCGAGTAGCTAGGTCTGTTGTCTCTTTGGACTGGTTGGTAGACGCGTCGATAAAAAGAGTTACATCATTAGGCAAAGCTGCTTTGATGGCTCTCAGAGGGCTGTGGGGGTGAAGGTGAACGGTCGAAGCCGAATGATCGTTCCCGCCCTCTGGCTTAATAAGAAGCACTCTCCGGCCCGCGTCGGTCAGCCTCTTCCAGAGAAGAGCCCCAACGACGGGATTGGCATCAAAAATTGCGACGCTCGCATTAGGCTTTATGAGATCTAGGAGGGTTGTTGCTAGAAGGTGTACCACCGCAAATAGAATGAACACGAGGTCTTCTGTTCCCAAAGAGGAGCTTTCCAATGCCACGGTCCATGAACGCGGCACCGTCACGATGGAAGCCTGACGGTGCGAAAATAGAAGGGTCTTAAGGCCGGTCTTAGTGTCAGTCCCTAAGCAGAGGAAGTAAAAGCCCGCAGATGTTTTAACGGATGAGAGCAACGAGCAAGATACACGGACGGTAACCAGGTCACCTCCGTCGTTCGAGGGAGGAAACTCGTGCTGTTCCTGAAGAATGTACCTTCCATCCATCTCGTCCCAGGTGAGACTAAGAGGAGTTTCGCTCGATTTGTCAGTAATGTCCACGTCTCGCGTGATGACCCTCTTGGATGCATTATACCGGAGGTTCAGCTCCTTGGCACAGCGCAACCGCGGAACATATAAATGGCCATCTTGCTCATCCAAAAACAGTTCCGGCTCAATGTTCCAGAGTATATCAGAAAGTTTCCCAGATATCTCGAGCTCTACACCCTCGGTGAGTTTGAGTATGCACTCGGCCACCAGCTCAGCGATACGAGGCGCTGCAGATCCATCACCTAAGGCCGAGGGACCAAGGTCCAGCGTTTGAAGCGTTGTGTCAGGAAGTTCATATCGTACCGTGCGGATGAATCCAAGGGTCGCACCAGCGTACGGGTTTTTATCCAGGGAACCCTGAACTACCCAGAGCACACTTGCTGCCTTGTCAAACACCTGCTTCAGATTCTCGAAGGCAGGTGCACTCAGCCCCTCCCAGAAGTCGGCATCACAATCGCTGAGGTTTAGCACGTGCATGCCTTGGACAAAGAAGGCATCACTATCGTCATGTCCAAGATTGTCAAGGTAAGCCACATTTTGATAGTACGGACTGACAATGGATGTGACCTGCTCGCGCAAGGAAAGAGACCCACGGTCGGCGTTGCTTCCCCCTATCACCAGAAGATCTTTTGCTCGCGGAGTTGTGGGCGTCACTGCGAGCGGGCTAATCAGTGGTAGAACGGCCTGTTCTTCCTCCACGGCCCTAGCGGAGAACACCGCCCAGACATCTTCCTGGTCGAGAACGTCGGAAACTGTGTCCACCGCGAATCCAGTTTCGGCGAGAATATCTCTCCACTGGTCTGTCGTGAGCAGAGGGCCGCCTTTCCTACCATCTTCCTCGCCCACCCACCAGCCTGGCAGGCAGCCTACTACCAGACCAAAGCGCATGCATTCGCTTTTTAGCAGCTCTAGCAGAATCAGATAGCCGCCCGGCCGGAGAAGTTTACGAGCATGCTTTAACGATTCCTTCAACGGGGCCGTAGCATGCAACACGTTCTGCGCAATGACAACATCATAGCTTCGCGGTGTGAACCCCTGTGATGAAGGATCCTTGGTGATGTCAAGTGTCTGGAACACCATCTTGTGAGCGTTCGACCGAAACCTCTCTACTGCACGCTCAAAGAATGCGCTGCTGATGTCGGTGTACGTATAAGACCGGAAACTTTCGCCGATCTCGTCCAAGATCGTTGATGTTGATCCGCCTGTTCCCGCACCAATTTCAAGGATCTTCATGCGCGGATGCTTCTGGCATAGTTGTGCGATCAAATTGGTAGCGACCGAATTGAGGATTGGATATCCAACACCTTCGGTATAATTGCGCTCCAGCATGTTATTATGAACCATAAAATTCAGGATATTAACTTCACCATTAAGAACCTCAGGCACCAAAAGATTGTCACCGACCGTCTTAGTGAGAATAAAGTCGATGGCATCTGGGTCGTGACGGGAGATAAGCTCGGCAATGACCTCCGCTGTGTCATCAACCCAGGAGGGCGGAGCGAAAGCGTGTTCTCCACATTTGACGCGGAGATAGACGCGCTCTGCTTCTGCGAGGAGACCTTGTCTGTATAGAGGTAGAGTTACCCGCACTTGAGGTGGCGTTGTGAGATGAAGGAGCTTCAGGTAGTAGAATGCCAACCGCTCGGCGTCCAATACTGCAGCTTTTTCCACAGGAGTGAAGCGTATACCGCGACGAGCGGATTGTGCATTGAGGGAATCGAGGCACATGATAGACTCCTGGAAGAGAGGCCGGTCGTTCTCAGCCGTGGGAGGTGCCACAGGTTGGATCTTGATACCTTCTATCTCGATAAGCTTGACGGTGTTGTCGATCTCAGAGTCCGAAGTCGAAGCGTACACTTCGACATCGCCCGTCAAAGAGATTTTATCTCGCGCATTCGCCATATTTACTGTAGAGGTACAGTCAATGATCACCTGTTCATCCTCGTGATGACGCTTGAGCAGCTCAGGGACAAGTGTGGCCCGCTTAATAAATGTTGGAGCGACCAAATCCTCGACGCTACCATCTCCTGGTGCAGCAAAAGCTGCATTTAGTCCCTGTAAGGCACAGTCAAGCATAGCTGGATGAAAGAGGAGTTTAGTTTCAGCCTCAGCAAATGGTGGGTTCTGAGCAGTGACGGTCGAGTAGCCCGCCTTTCGACTGATGCTAGTCAAACCCCTAAAAGCACCATCCCAGCCCAGCCCAATCTCTTCCCGCATTGTCTGATAGAAACGGTTGACATCAACAGCATTCATGCCAGGAATAGGTTGGCGCCTTGAAGGGAAGAGGGAGCCATGATCGAACTCAACGGCACCGGCCACGAATCCAGGAAGAAGACTGACGCTGACTTTACCGCAACAATTCAGCGTCATTTGCATCGAATCCCTGGTTGGGGCAGAGAATATTTTGAAGCTCGCCGTGATAGTCTCGGTAGTTTCATTGAGGTCTGAGGGAGACAGATTGGACAAAGAGCAAAGCACTTCGATACCCAAGTCTTGGTGTAAGGCAATTGCTTTACGAATTTCGAGGTCCAGAACGTCAATGTATGCTATCTTCACCTCGCTTGACTGCACAAGCTGTAAAGCGGCTTCGGCAACCATGCAGATGTAACCAGTCGCGGGGAAGACAACTTGGCCTTGGAGTGTATGTCCAGCAACCCATTTAAGATCATTGACGCTTATTTTGTTTCGCCACCTTGGCTCATCTGCTAGGCCATCGGGTTCCCTTAAGCCGAGCAAGTCGTGGAACTTCCCTGGCAACGTAGTATGGATCTTACTCTTCCTAGACTCCACCCAGTACTCAATTTCGTGATTCCAAGGATATCTGGGAAGCTTAGCCGCATCGAGCTTGATGTTCACTTCCGGCAGACTCTTCTTCTGGAAAAGTCCAAGTTTGATATGATTGGGACCAAAGCGCGCCCACAGGCTTCCGAGGGCGTCGGCAAATGCCTCAACGTCATCGGCGTTGCGCTTGAGTGTACCTGAATATGCTATTTCCTGATGCATCACGTCTTGAATACAATCCTGGGTCGGTCCCTGAAGAGTAGGATGTGGACCCACCTCCAGGACAAAATTGAATGCGGTTTCGTGAGTCGTAAGGCTTGTCTTGATAGCTGGGTAGAACAAAACCGGTCGGACCATATTATCAATCCAATATTGTCCATCGAGACCTCTTTCTGCAGCTGCTTCTATCGTCATTTCTGCGTTGTCCACACTGGAAAACCATCTGGTGGCTTTTTGATCAGAGTCTGGCACCAATTGCCGAATTCCAACTTCTTTCAAAGCCTTGAGATACGGTCCAGCGCATCTACTCATGTGAGATGAGTGATATGCCGTGTCTACCCTCAAGGCTCTGGCGAACTTCTGCTCATCCTCAAAGATATCCTGCGCGAGCTTAACAGCGTCAATATCACCTGACAACGTTATGCTTCCTGGAGAGTTGTGTGCCGCCACAGATAGTCGGCCCTCCATGTCGTCGAGTTGGCATAGGCCTTCAGCGTCTTCGATGTCGGTACCCACAACAATCATTCCACCCTTTTGACCGTCGGCGCCGGCGGCCTGCTTGGCAAAAAAGCCGCGATAGTAAGCAATACGTATGGCGTCCTCGGCAGAGAGGTATCCCGCGGCGTATGCGGCGGCGATCTCACCCGACGAGTGGCCTACGACAGCTTTAAACTTGATTCCGGCAAGTCTGAGGAGGTCGACCAAGATGATCTGCACCGCTGTACAGATGGGTTGAGAAATCTCTGCCTTAGCGACGCTATGGCTACTATTGGGAGATAAGATCTCGGCCAACGTCCAATGGGGACAGTGGTATGTTGGAAGCGTTGCCAGCGAAGCATCTAGACGATCCAGAATACTGTGAGCAAGGGGATTTGCCGCGAGAAGTTTCGATCCCATAGCGGGCCATTGAGCGCCTTGCCCAGTAAAGATACCTAGGATAAAAGGCGGTGCCTGGAGCGCAGCTACGGAGTGGGATGTACCAGCAGCATCGCCCAATTTTTCCTGGCTCTTCTGTCGGAGTTCTTCGGCCGAAGCAGCATATATTGGCAGGCGCAAGGAGAGTGCCGACCGCCGAGTGCTAAGGGTGTATGCAAGACTAGGAAGATCAACAGAAGGATTCTCGTCCAGGAATGACAAAATTGAATTGAGAAGTGTAACAAGCGATTTAAGTGACTCGGAGGAGAAGACAAGAGGAATAAGGGTCTTGGGTGACGCTGGCTTAGTGGCCTCGACTGGGAGGTCTGGCCCGTAATGTCCATTGGAAGAATCCCCATTGACAGTTTTGATCTCCTTAGAGGTATCAATGTTGTTCTCATCAGTGCCGTTCAAGACAGCCTCTTCGTGAAGGTCCGCTACATAACCGTTTTGGATCTCTCCATTGGTCTGGCCATTATGTACCGCTCCAAATCCGTTGGCATGAGGCTCTCTGGTGAGAAGTCCATTAGTAGCGACGGGAACTCCGTTTTCAATCCGTCGTTCGGACGAATTTTCAGTTTCATAACTTTCAATGATACAATGTGCGTTAGCACCACCGAAACCAAAACTGTTGATGCTCGCTCTGCGTGGTTGACCCTCTGGTATGTGCGGCCACGGTTCGCACGCCGTTGGGATGCGAAGAAATTTTGTGAACGGCTCAACTCTTGGGCTAATTTTATTGAAGAGAAGATTTGGAGGAATAACACCATGCTGGACGGCAAGGGCGGCTTTCAAGATCCCGGCTATTCCAGCAGTCCCTTCTGTGTGTCCAACGACGGTCTTAATCGATCCAACAAGTAACTCTCCCTCTGCCACGTCATGGTTAGGGAAGAAGGATTGATCCAATGCCGAAGCCTCTTTTGGGTCACCTGCTGGTGTGCCGGTGCCGTGAGCTTCGAAATATTGGCACCTGTCAGACTTGAGAGTAGGATCTAGCCCGGCTTTGTTGTACACATCTCGAATTAGTGCGGACTGTGCTTCCGCACTCGGCACTGTAAGTCCCGTGGTTCTGCCATCGTGGTTGAGGCCAATTTCGCGGATCACGGCGACAATATCATCACCGTCTTCGATCGCCGCGCTTAATGTTTTAAGCACCACTGCTCCAACACCTTCACCTCTAGCATAGCCATCAGCACGCTCATCCCACATGTGGCATCGGCCTGTGGGCGAAACCATGCCCACATTACTCAGCGACATGAACATAAACGGCACGAGCAGAAGGTTTGTTCCGCATGCTATGGCAACGCGGCTCGTACCATTCCGTAGAGCGTTGACTGCCTCGTTTATACATACCATACTAGAGGAGCAGGCAGTGTCGACGGTCATGGACGGACCATGCCAGTCAAAAAAGTAAGACACTCTACTCGACGCATTGCTCGCTGCAATACCTGTGACGGCGTATTTCGGGATCGACAAGAAGTCTTGGAATTGCACGGCGAAGAAATCTTGACACATGATCCCGACATAGCATGCTGTGTCGGAACCAGAAAGGTTGTTGATGGTAATACCGGCAGATTCGAGAGCTTCATAGACTACCTCAAGAAGAATCCGCTGTTGTGGATCAATGGCTTCGGCTTCACCAGGAGAGATGGAGAAGAATTTGGCATCAAAATGACGCGGATTTTCATTAAGTATATATCCGCGCCGCGTGTTGGTTGTGCCATTGTGGCCACCCTCTGGATGGTCTAGAGCATGCATCGTCAGCAATCAGAACAAAGCTACAGAGGTTCCATAATACATACAGAACCGTTCCAGATTGAAGCGGCCACCACCGCCTATCTCGGACGAGACATCGCGTGGGTTACTAAGAAGATCCCAGAGTTTCGATGCTGAGTCTGCGCCACCAGGGAATCGGCAGCCTGTGCCCACGATAGCGATAGGCTCGTTGGGGTATTGTGAGGAGGGCATTATGCCTGTATAGGTGGAAACAGAAACCCTCTAGGCAGTCATTCGTAGCCCATGTAGGATATCACGGGTCGAGATATACGAATGGAGCGAATAAGAGAGGACAGATTGGGTTAGAAACAATTGACCATCCAGATATATGCCGGCTCGTCGATAAGATATTTAGGTTTGTTATGGCACTCAATTATAAGCACTCAGAGTAGTCTCCCATCAATTGTCTCAAATATGGGATTTATTGAAGTCTCCTGAACTGAGAGGAAGGCTACAGCAATTAAAGACGGAAAGACTATGACTAAGAAGCACCTCCCGATTGACCCTTTCCGCGAGGCTCCGTCTTGTGCTTTTAATCCGGCGTTTGATACCGCCGGTTGCACTTGAACGCCGGTCAAACCAAGAACGAGGCTCAGCGAGCTGCGACTGGATCCTGACTTGACCGGGGTCTGACAGCGCGGGATCGGAGAGGTCACCAAGAAATACTCCTGGTGCTGTCAGGTAGGAATCTTGGCGAATAAGTTAGAGATTTAGATACACATAACCTATTAGTTCAGGATCTACATAGTTTGCTAGGAGTTGTAAACTTTTGTTATGTCAAACCGTGCTAATAGCTACATATATCACTACCGTGGACGGGACGGAGTTGACCAATTGAAGATGTCACTTAACGCGCCCATATTACGTACATAATTCACATTCTACCCAACCTTCGTAGACTAAATTCATCCAAGAATACTCAACAAATGATCACAGCGCAATCACGCTAGTAAACAGGGCAGATCAGCTTCTGCCCAGAAATTTGTTTCTGCCGAAGAAGTTCCAGTCCGTTTGCGACTCCTTCAAACCCCCCGCTTACAACCTTGATGGGATGCGGCTTGATGTCCCCTTCATCCAACAGCCTTTGAACAGTGCGAAACCAATCTGTTCCAAATTCTCTGAGATCTTCGCTCACCTCTCTTGTAAAAGGCTCCGGCCAGTTCACAGCCTGTCCAAGGACTGTGTAACCTAGTACCCAGTCAGGGACTACAGTCCGTGGTCGAGTGTGGAAAATTTCCGCATAGGGCTCTAAGGCTGTGTACTTTCCACCAGTTCTCCCTATGCATTTGTAACAAAACTCCATAGTTTCGGGCTCTGAAATACAGTCTACGACGTACTTAAGAGAGTTTCGCGTGTATTTTCGGATGTCGTCTATACAAGTTGGGGAGTTGTAATCGAAAACTTCTGTTGCACCATAGGATTTGACAAGATCGAAGTTACGGGGCGAACAGACAGTGATAGGGTTCAGACCGGAGCTGAGAGTTTCACATCAGCTAGTTCACAAGTAGAGTTATTCATTTGATATTGACTTACATCTTAATCAGTTGAATAGCCATTGTGCCGACAGAAGTGCTGCCACCATAGACGAACACATTGACTGGCTTCTCAGCTGGATTCTTTGGGTTGCCAGGGAGACCTAGCGACTTGAACAGTGCAAGTCCCATGGTCGAAATACAGGCTCCCAAAGAAGCACCCTGCTCGTAGGACATGCCATCTGGTATCTTCATCAATCCAGCATCCGTTGGCGCCACAATTTCGGCAAAGGCCCCGATAGCAGGATTCCGTTGGTCATAGCCGATGACGGCGCCGCAGACACGATCTCCAACTTTGATTTTGCCTGGAGTTTGAGCCTTGGCTCCAATGGCAATAACCTCCCCTGCGAAGTCCATGCCTGCAATACAGCCTGGTGCTGCCAGCCTGCCCTTCATTTTCGTGTCAATTGGGTTGAGCCCGATAGCTTTAGTGCGAACGATGACAAGGTCATCCTCAAGTTTAGGGACGTCAACATTGTCAGAGACGACGAGTGTGCCGTCGTCGAGACCGATGATGGCTTTTTGCTTGTCGGGTACTGGAACGCTCCCCATATCTGCAGTTAGAGGGGGTAGTTGATGAAGTTCACAGTCTACAATAAAACACCTGTAAGGTCTCAGATCTACAATCTCGATTATCGTTCTTCTGCATTATTTGCCTAGCACTATTTCTGTAGAGCACCATGACAGGCGGACCGGTCGGACATTACGATAATGTTCGCCAAGACATATTGTACCCGAGGTGAGATATGTACCGCGAAAAGTGGCCGGCCCCGCACCCAACACTAGCCCGCCGGTTGTCTCCCAGTGTCATGCAGGCTGCATACTCCTCTGCATGCACTTATGGCCGCCTTGACGAGGTCTGATGGCAGTTGCCTCTCAATAAGGCACTGCTGAATTGAAGTCAGCCTCAACAATATCTGCATTATAGGGTATTCAGTTGGTAAAATGCCCGGCTTCTTTGGAATATGGCTGCCGATCTGGGTGTGCACTTGTTGTGCAGTGTTATACCGATATCTCAGTGATCTTGAATATACTTCACTACCGATCATTACAGTCGTCGTAGCCGAACTGGTCGCTTTAGTTGTATGGGGATTGTACTGGACGACCCTCTACCCAAATTATTTCACACCGTTTCGCCACCTGCCAACCCCATCGGTATGCAGATCAATTGCAAAGTCAATAGGTTCAAGGTTAAGCTCATGTTTTAGGTACGAACATTCAGGTACGGGAATAGGAAGCAATTCTTTCCTGACCGATCCTGGGAGGACATCAGACATGTCTTCGAAACACTGCCAAGCGACGGTTTGGTCCGATTTTACGAACCATTCAACAAGGAGGTGCTGCTAGCTACGAAGACAGAAGTTGTCAAAGAGATGTTTAGTCTGAAACCGAACGATTTTGGCCATCCGAAAAATGTTCAATTCATGATCAACCAATTGACGGGAAGCAAGTTCAATTTCCTAAGCCCCCATGGACATCGGGTAAGACTTTGTTTCTGCAAGAACCTATGAGCATAGAGTAAACGAGCTCATTTGTATTAAGGCTTTCCGCAAACATCTCAGACCTGCCTTCACGGCCAGTCATATAAGAAAAACCATGCCTATGATATGGGGCAAGTCCGACAGGATGATTCGACTTATAGAAGGGGAATTGCGAGCCACCTCGAATCCTCGACCAGTGGTGGAACTACGAGATTATATCCGCCGCACGATGTGGGATATCGCCGGACTCGCTGTTCTAGGCCATGATTTCCAGACACTCGAGAAGCCCGCAGCAGGGGCAAAAGACAGATTCTCAGGTGTACTGAAGAATCTGAACAACTCAGCAATAAAATGGGGCTACTTCATCATAAACTACATCGATGTGCGGCCGCTCCTAGCTGTACTTTCCCCTCTGCTCATGAAGTCTTCAGCAGGAAAGGCCCTTGGGCAGATACGCAGCACTATCAGACAAGCCGTGGACAAAAAAGAACTCGCCTTTCAAGCAGCCAGCAAGTCTCCGTCCCCAGATGATATCGGACTGGATATCACCAGTGTCTCTATCGCGAGCCGGGTTTTCCCTACTGAAGAACTTGTTGACAACGGCATGCTTTTTCTAACCGCGGGCCCCAATTCCACCGGAACGGCCGTCGAGTGGGCCGTCTACGAGCTCACTAGCCATCCGGAGATGCAGACGCGTCTCCGACAGGAGATAAACGCCTGCGTCTCCATCATTGGATCTGAGTCTGGGGCTGAGCTTCTCCAAAACCTGCAAGCCCTTCCCTACCTTAGGGCAATCTGCAACGAAGTTATACGATGCTACCCGTTTGTTCCGCTAGCTCCTCGCGTGGCGGAGAAGGACACCACGCTACTCGGGGAACACATTCCTCAAGGCACCATTATCCTCACCCCAGTAGAGGCATTCAACCGGGACAAGTCCCTTTGGGGGGCAGATGCGGACGCGTTCAACCCAGACCGGTGGCTGGGGGACGGAGAGGGATCGGGTGGAGCGGCTAACAACTATGCTATGCTCTCGTTTGGGGCAGGGCCTGGTGCATGCATTGGGCAAGATTACGCTAGGGCTATGATGGCATGCATGTTGGTGGCATTATTTAAGAGTTTTGAGATAGAACTCGCGAACGCCGAGACAGCGGGGCGCCTGAGGGCCGCACCTTTTAAGCGATCCGAAGAGGGTATGGTGGCTAGGTTGAGGAAGGTGACATGAGTTTGTGATGCCAAGAGCATGGATAGGGATATGTGTAGCGAGATGCAGACAACCGGCTACTCGGATCAGAATGACGGGTTAAAATGAGGATTCAGCGAATAGTCGAAGGATTTCATCTGCAACGTTATATGAACTGTTGAATCCTACGGGATTCGGGATCCGGCGGGGGTTGAGATGAGTCTACGATGTGCGTTTTAATACTCAGATAGATTTGTGAAGTTCAATCTTAAGGTATATCTCGCAACTTGCCCAAAATGGGTCACGTGAATGGCACATTGTTCTAGCGAAGGAGTGACATCGACAGGATTAAGATTCGTGGGAAATTAGATGTAAAAGTACTAATTACAAGAGTGTTGGCTCTCTATTGCTGGTTCATCAACAAAATCGCCGTTGTTGGGCCTAAGTATCCCCTGAAGACTATCAAGATAGTTCGTCTTCTCTCTACAAACAACCTGGTCTAATTTCTATCAAACACTCCATATCATTCTATGCAAGGAATGTTGAACGCGGAACGTTTGGATTAAGGGAATTTCAAGTATCCGCGCTTGTCGACAAATCTTGTACTAGGAGAGGTCAGACCCGGGAGGCACACCATGTAAAGAAATGTCGCCGTTTCCAACCAAACGCCGGTTTGGGCACGGCCTCCTGGGGCGCTGCAGTCGGACAAGATGCGGATCCAATTACGGCCCTCCATGCTGCAGCTACGTAGACACCTTACCGGTCGACTGGCACGGCGCGGCAGTTAATGGAATTAGTTTATCGGCAATTTTTTAAGCTGCTTCACAAAGCTCTACAACCATCTATTATTGTTTACTTTGTGGTGAGCTTGGATTCTGCAACCCGCCACCAGGTCTCGGCCCTCCTCCCTAGCGGCTTAACCGCCAATCCTGCCCAGCTATGGTCAATTTTCGGAAACTGACAGCAGGCGCGCTTGCAACCACAAAGGCACTGTGGAAAGGCGGCAGCCCATTTGCTGCTCTTACAGCGTTATGGCCGACCAACGAGGAGGGCAAATATACCATTGAGTCTGAGGGAATCCGAATTGACTTCACAACTCACGGTGCTGCCGTCACCAACCTTTGGCTAGCAGACAAGAATGGCGACGAGATTGATATTGTTCTGGGGCTTGATCATGCTGACATGTACCTCGAGACCGACTCCAATCCGTATTTAAACGGCATCATTGGTAAGCTCTGTCGGTTTGCTACCAAGTCCTATGAGCTAATGGTCGCAAACCCTAGGACGATATGCTGGCTACATTAATGGCGCCAGCTACGAGGCCGATGGCATTGTGCATCAACTCCCTGCCAACGCCCATAATGGATCCGACACATTCAATGGAGGCAAAAGGGGCTGGGGAAGAATGGATTGGGCTGTTCCGTCGAAGCTCCAGACAGACACTATCACGTTCGTCATGTTTGACAGGAGCGAGAATGGCTTCCCTGGCTTGTTCGTTGGCTGTATAACGCATACCGTCACCCCTTATGAGTGGCATATTGGATATGGTGTGACGCCCTTACTCATGCCCGGTGGTCCTGTCAATATGGCACAGCAAGTCTTCTTCAATCTCGATGGGCTAAAGAAAACTGTCAACGGCACTATCGGATCCATTAGTGATCATAAGTTGCATCTGCCCATGTCGGGAATGCGGTTCGACTTCGATAGCGATGGCATTCCCACAGGCAACATTTTAAGCAACAGAAAAGGGGAAGAATACGACTTTTGGTCAAGTCCTAAAACTATGAAGGACGCGTTGAGTGGAGATTCCGAGACGTCCGCTTCGGGCTACGACGAGACCTTCATGATTTCTCATAAGTACGCGGACTATAGCAGGAGAGATAAGCCCGTGGCTGTCCTCTCGTCTGAGAACTCAGGCGTTACTATGGAGGTATACACCGACCAGGATGCCATTCGTGTTCATACTTGGGATGATGAAATCAATGGCAAGTCATACGTCTTTAATGTCATTTTCATTCATATCTTGCTCATCTCTAACATCGTTGCAGGACAGTTAAGCCTGAAACGTACCCAGGGCAATGGCACTGTTCCACAACATGGTGCTGTTTCACTCCAGCAGACCGACTGGCCGGGCGCCGTAAATCACCCGGAATGGATGAACAGAAAGAATCTATGGGGCAACCTAGACATTTACACAGGCTACATGGCGTACAAATTCAAGGTAGATGGGAAACAGATTGCGGACAAAAGGTAAGCCAGGATATAAGCTTGGGCACAGAATGGTGTGCTTTAACGGTCGAAGATAGAGCACCAATTGAGCTTCCTTTGTCAATTGTTCAAGCTATTCCAGACTTCCATAATCTTCTCCGTGACCCGAGCAACGTCGGCCTCACGGCTAGGCACTTCATGTTTCCCCTGAAAATCTAACACGTTCCTGGCCTTTTCTCCTACAAAATGCTTCTCGAACAACTTCAGGCCCTGTCCCCGATACGGATCTGAGGAACCCGTGATGTGAACACACGGGATTTCAATCGTTCTGTTTGCCTCATTCGCAATCTCCTTTCCTAGCTCCACCGCTGGAAACAAGGCACAAATAAACACCCCAAATTTGATCTGCCGGCCTAACTCCTTGTCCATACACAATGCGCTACCCAAACACGCCCCTTGACTAAATGCTATGACACCTACAACAGGACCTTCCTTCTCTAGCGTTGATTGGAGGAGCTCCCTCACCTTCGAAGCTTCCTCTCGTATTTTCTCATCGGACATGCCTAATCACGGGAGGTATTAGTCGCTAGCTTATATAATTCTTCAGGGCTAAGAAGCCCTGCTTGCATGGCTGTCATCTGGAGACATTGTGCCTGGTCATCAAAGCAAGTCAAGACAGCGACAAGAACGGAGTAAAAGAGCCCATACCGAAGAGACTGGCAATGCCTCGATCCGAATTCCACCGGCGGAAAGGGCCGGAGTCGACGGACGTGGCGCCGGGACCGGGGGCGTCAACGAGGAAAGGGCCTTCGGGAATGATGAACTGGAAAGAGGTGGAGAGGGAAGCTATGATGTTTCGGAGTTGGTACTGGTAGAGTGATGTTAGTTGCCGGGCTGCTATCATGGGAGCTTGTCGGTTTCAGTCGCAAGGAACGCACGCGCAGGATGGAGGCATTTGTGCCGTAGCCATGAAGGCACAGAATGCCGGGAAGGGTGGATTCCCCGTCCATAAGCGCAATTGGTAGTTTCTGTCGTGAGGTGTCGCCAGTAGGATAGTTACAGGGTATACCCGATGCTGCGTTTGGTGATGCAGAAATTACGACGATAATAACCGGTTTTTTGTTTATTAATCACTGCATTGGATCTATAAACCCTAAAGAGTAGTACATTCCAGCTACCTTGGTATGCAAGATGTGGATATACTGTGGCAGTGAATCCAAATTCGCTATAACCCTAACCGGCGACTTTTCTGTGACGCGTAGATAACGCACCGGCTCAGGTAAATGCTTCCCCACTGGTATGAACTACGGCATTGCACCTCGCGAGACAAGCTGCTTCTCGAAGGCGCATGACATGTGTACATTCATGATGTATATGATGTGTACTTGTAGGTTTGCCACGTATATTCTCTCGATAACTGGGATGGTCATAGCCGCCATGGAATTTCTAGCGGTGAAACAGGATGTCGAGTCCGTAGGCTTGATAAATCTATTACGCGCCTATGAACTATGTTTGCTCTTAATATATGCCTCATAGTAACCCATTGAATTCTTTACAATTCACTTGGACGTGTGTCGTATTTGAATCTTCATTGGATTTTATCGGTCTACTGATCTATGTCGTGAAACTCGTTTAAGAATGAGAATCTTTCAATTTCTCAACCAGCAATGTTTCTCTCTGAGTAACAAGGTCCGACACGGCTGACAAAACAACGGCTATAGATCTCGATGATGTGTCTGTTCCCTTAAAAGTCTGCTTCTCCGACACAACACCTGTCGACGTCTGATCCACGGCACATACGAGGTCCTTACATTTAGATGCAAGCATGTGGATCATCCCTCGCAGATGCTGAACTATGCAAAGAACAAGATGAAGCACGATCTCATTGTTGAGTGCGGGCTGGGAAGCCAGGCTGAAAATGCCTAGATGTAACGCAGCACGAGATTCTTGGTTACTAGGTGCACTGACATCTCCTACCGCGGCACGATTTGTCAGTCCGCCCACGACGCGGTCAAGAAGCAACAAGACGTTTGAGTAGCATATCAATGCTTGCTGCACAGTTATGTAGCTTACAGAAGGGGGTTCAGACTGGTCGTTCATCAACATTTTTGGATCGATCTCGGGCAAGGAATTAGAGTCCTGATTGCTCTCAGGGGGTATGAGCCCGCCGTTATTTGTCTGTCGGCCAGCCGAGAAGATATTGCTTTCTGTGGTGGTGTTGCTTTGCGGAGCCAACCCCAGTTGAAGGATATCGAGGAAGCTCTTGGCGGCCTCGAGACCTTGCTGGACCGAGTCGACTCCAGGTTGATCCTCCTCCGCCGACAGCAGACGATACAGATGTCCTTGCAACTGGAAGAGACGATCCGTCAATGTTGTCGGCGGTTCCTTGTGATTGAAAACTCCCCCACCAGGATCATGAGAGGAAACACCACTATGGTCGAGCCGATCCTCCTGTTGCATGATGTGTGGTGATTGTTGTGTTTCTTGGAAGAGAGGGTCATGGATAGTACCGATGTGGTGACTAAAGTCCATAGTCCAATACGGGTCTGTTGTCTGGATCCCTGTTCGATTACACATTGTCTGTGAGCTTCACTTCTCTGATTTGACATCGCTCGGATAGGTCCAACCTTTAGGGGACATTAAGAAGCTCATGGCATCGGATGGTGAATCAATAAGTGTTGTGCTGCCGCTTGGGATCGTATCACCCTCCATCTGGATTCCATCCAGTTCAGATCCACCTGCAACTATCACTGACATTTCTGGTGTCCTCTCGCTCGCTTTACCGGACGTTTGCTGGTCAGTAGTTTGCTGGGGCCCGGACGGTCGGAATTGAGACACGGCAGTATTCTTCCTTTGCCTCTTCGGACGGCCCATGTTGGACGACTTCTGGTACACACAATCTATGTCTAACCTCTCACACCGGTCACAACGGCTGTCCGGGCCCCCTATTCTGACACAACGGTTCTTGAGGTCATGGCATCGGTCGCAGGCGGCTCGGAGCTTGCCTTCTCGCACGGGGTCCGGCCGGGGACGGTGCATACTTGGCTATCAGGCTAGGTATTGAACAAGAGAATGGAGTCGACGGGCAAGACTCAGCAAAGCTGGGCGCTGGCTGGCGTCTAGTTTAGGGTGGCCGAGAAATGATAAAGGCAAGCCGCCACGGTGTGCGGCTCGCACCCTCGTTTGAGCTTTTTTGTCATTGGTCCACTTTGCACCTACACCCTCAAGGTCCAAGAGGATCGAAGCTACAAGTGAATTCTGCTTGGCATTTGCAGGATGTGGCTGTGGCACAGCCGGTCGATGGATCACTTCACTTTTAAGTCTGAAATAGGCTTATGGACCCTTGTCTTGGCTTGCGACATCTCACTTCGTCAAACGCTCTTGATGGAGCATTGTCATTCATCGTGAGCTCGCATAGATCGCATCAACGAGTTCGACCTTGCTTCAGCTCTCATCTATTTCTATTTATGTGAACTCGGGCGGGGTAGATGGGTGGTAATGGTCGGTCGACAGAAGTCCCGTCTTATTTTCCTACCATCAACAGCTGGGTAGTTTTATTGCTTGACAGGAGACATATTTACGGCCGTTCGATAAGACGTGCTTGCCAAGCAACATGTTAATTAACCCTTACCAGGTATGGGCAGCAGTGAGTTATCAACGCAACCAACATAGCAAAACGGCAGAGCTCCACCGGCAATCCACACCTCCCAAAGGCCAAGCTCTTCAGGGGGAATCGTATCGGGAACGCAAAAGAGCTAGTAGCCTTACACGAGTCGGCCGATAGCTTATATCTCTTGTGGCGCTAGGGTCTACGGGTAGGCAGGCAAAGCTCTTATAAGCGCGTATTTTGTCGACCAGCAGAATCCTTCCCGTGCGCCCTTTGCGCCCTCTGACGATCCGCATCCAATGAGTTGATTACGTACTGATTAGATGGGAAACTAACAGTAACAAGCGAGAACGCCTACACACCTCTGTGGGTAGGTAAATCAGGCCCCACAACCCACAATCCGGGCGGGGGCCAGAGTCCAACCAGGAGTTTGCTTAACGTTACTTGAGTTCCAATTGAGGTGCTAATAGTGTCTCGGCTTGCCTAATACACCGTCCAGGTTGTTCAAAGATGGTACGCTGTTGTCGGGATGAGGATCCTCCCCCCTTATGTTATCTTTAAAAGACTGATACTCATTGCCCCCATTGGGTGATTGGTGGCATGTGGGGTAGGACCGGTTGAGACACGAAGGAAAGAAGGAACAAACGAGGGAACAAAAGTCACCGGTCTGGTACATCGTTGACCCGGAACCGGCAGCGAGGTAGCTTAGGCGAGGTAGATCACCTAGCAAAATTGAGCCACCTCACCTCCTCATGGTATCCATCTCCTGCAAGGTATATGTCGTGCAACTCTTTGCACACAGCCAACCGTTAATGGTCGATGCATCTTCGTTATTAACTGGCCGGCTTGGTTGCACGAGCTGAATCCTTCGCTGCATTCCTTCGGGCCGGTGCCCGGCGCCTGGGAAGGCGTTTCTCAACAGACAAGCCATTTCCAGCCATTTACACGTACGCTGGTCCATGTTTCTTCTATGCCTCCTGAACATTTCAGGCACCCAGCAGCATCCAAGTGATACCGTACAACTCAGCTGCCCTCTCTCTCTGACTTAGGTAAAGTTCAGACTGGGAAATATGCCTGCCAAGATTGAGCCTGAGCCTGTCGATATCGGTTCTCCTGGTCATCCACCCTCTCCTTCCCTTGTCAGCGCCGACCCCAACCACCTGAGCGACCAGCCTGAGCCGACATCATCGACAGTCCCGCCGCCCACCGAAGAAGCAAATCCTCCTAAAGATGAGGAATCCGGAGCGGGGCCTCGGGAGGCGGTTGATGGTCCGGATGTCCTTCGAGGATACCGGCTCTTTGCCGTTGCCATTGGCATCTGCTTCGGCGCGCTGATGATTTCGCTCGACATCTCCATCATTGGCACGGTAGGTCTCCTTCTTCTCGCCACCACCCCGGTCCCAATTGATCGCGCCAACGACTACTAACCCTTGTCTTCTCTGTATGTGCAGGCCCTCCCATCTATAATGACCGATTTGCATGACGACGCCTCCAACATCGCCTGGTATCCTGCCGCATTCACATTAGCAACATGCGCCCTGACACCCATCGCCGGCAAAATGGCGTCCGTGTTCCCCCTCGACCTAGTCTACAGCTCGTTTACTGTTATCTTCCTGGTGGGGAGTATCGTCTGCGGGTGGGCCCCAACCAGCAGCGCCTTCATCGCTGGTCGCGCCATCGCGGGCATCGGCGCTGCGGGCGTCGCCAGCAACGGCCTCACCATTCTCGTCACGATTGCGCCCGTCGCCCGGAAGCCCATGTTCATGGGTCTTGGTGCTGCGTGTTTTGTAGTGGGGCTCATTGCTGGGCCTCTGCTCGGCGGAGCGTAAGCAGCCACACCCGCCTCTCATACCCCCCCTGATCTGATCAAGCTCTTGACTAATCGATCTTGTCTCTTGTTAGATTCACAGATCGCTTGACTTGGCGATGGTGCTTCTGGTACGTATTTTCATTCTTTGCCCCACAGGCCCGCCCCCCTCCTTCGGGACGTTGCGCGCAGCATCAGCCACACGCGTAGTGCGTAGTGCCAGCAGCGCCGCTGGCACAGTTAGCACTAACACTCGTTTGCGCCTGAAAGGATCAACATACCCGTAAACGTGGTCACCCTGGCCGTCGTGTCGCTCTTCTTCCGCCCACAACAGGGGCGTGGCGGTGCCGTCTCGGGCCGCATCAAGAGCCTCGATTTGATCGGCTGCCTGATCTTCGTCCCGGGCATTTTCATGTTCCTCCTCGCCATGCAGACGGGCAGCGCAGACGGCATATGGAACACCGCCACCATCATCGGCCTCTTCGTCGGGTCGGGCTTGACGCTGCTGGTTTTTGTGGCGTGGGAATGGCGCCGGGGCGACCAGGCCATGATCCCCGGTAAAGTGGTCATGAGAAGAACGGTTCTCTTCACCTGCCTTTTTGCGTTTACGCAGATGGGGGGGCTTATCGTCGCGGCGTATTATTTGCCTACCTGGTTCCAGGCCATTCAGGGGGTAGGTCCTTTGCAGAGCGGGGTGAGGATCCTGCCCACGGTGATTACGCAAATGCTGGCCACCATGTTTGCAAGTGGTTTAGGTGAGTTTTCTCTTTTGGCTACGAGGCCCCCTTTTACTGTGCCTCGTTGTGTTGGTTGGGGTAACTAATCCGATAACACGTAGCTTTGAGAATCAGGTACTACAACCCCTGGTTCTTCATGGCGCCTATCTTCATGTGCACTTCCAGTGTGCTGTACACCACCTTCAAGGCCTTCTCGACCCCAGCAAGCCACTGGATAGGATATCAGATCATCCAAGGTTTCGGCACCGGCTTCGGCATGCAGATGAGTTCCCTCGCTGTGCAGCTCGAGCTGAAGGACAGTCCTGAGCTCATCCCAATCGGTATTGCGCTTGTCATGTTTGTGCAGTACCTTGGCGCTACAGTGATCCAGGTTATCGCCGGCACTGTGTTCAATAGTGAGATACGCTCACAACTCCAAAGCATAGACCTTACGCCCAGCCAGAAGAGTGCGCTACTCGGAGCGGGGATTAAGGGAATCAGAGAGGTTGTAAAGCAGTACTTCCCGCAATTGCTGGATCCAATATTGAAGGCTTACAATACTGCTATTACCAGGGTATTTGTAAGTTGTCATACATATTTGCTTCTGCGCTCAGGCATCCGAGACTTACCATGGCCGCTTAGTTCGTCCCTGTCGGTGCTGCTGTAGGGGGCTTCATCGCCGCGTTCGGCATCAAGTGGAATGTGATAGAGGGCGCTCCGGGCGGAAGATTCGCAAAGCGCCGGGCTGCGAAGGCTGCGAAGGCCGCAGCAAAAGAGGGACAAAAAGATGAGACGAAGACATGAGCTCAATCACCAAATATCTTTGACAATGGCTAAATGGTTGAGGTGGGCGTACTCGACAATTGTGACCGAGAACTTGTTGCAGAAGTTCGAGCGGTTATTGTGCATAAAGGCGTCCTAAGATCCCTACGATAAGCGGCTGATGACAACAATGTCATGCAAGTGTCGCCTACTAGAAAGAAGCCAGCCCAAGAGAAACTGCCAAGGATCAAGCGTTCAAGAGGTTCCCCTTTAGAGACTTCACTGCAAGGATTGCATCATTGGTGATCTCTTTGGGCTTTTTAAATTATGAGAAAGAGGGTCTCATTCATTAGAGTCTAGGGGGCTGACTGAGACAACAAAATGCTTGATCTAAAATCCCAGATATCAGGAGATGACGAGCGTTTAAGACTCAAGAAAGGCGCCTGAAAACTGTGGAAAGTGAGGCGATCCGTGACTGTGCTACACAACTAAGGATAGTAATTCGAAGAGTCATAGTCTCTAACAAAACGAAGCCAATTGTCCGACCCTTGCTGATCCAGGTGTTTCCAAAAGTGGCTGCACAGTTTTGACTAGAAACCGAACAACCTCAGCGGCCTTTTCCTCCCCGTACAATTCTGCTACCATAGGAAAGTCGCCAGATGTTGGCAAGGCCAGATGACCGCCATTACGCCCAGTAGGACCACTCGTAAGGTTTCGTGCTTCTAGGACCATAATATGCTTGCTTCGCAAGTTTGGATGGTTGAGCAGAGTGTTAGCAACACTGCAGCCGGTGATACTGGAGCCAATTATGGCGATATCGACTCGTGGCGGGAGCTCAAGGGACTGCACGCTGCCAATCGGATGGGGAGACTCCTGCCAAAAAGAAATGGTAGGCGAATCTCTTGGTAAACCCGGATTCTGCATTACAAAGGAAAGTGCTTTCTCCTGCATGATTGCATACTGCATCTCCTCGTTCATCATTGGCACGGGCGTTGAAATCACAGCGATTCGTATCTTAGAAAATCCTTAGTACGCTGGTTATCGCGGTAAAGTAACTAGGGCTTCCGTCAACGGAGTTTATAACAACGTTCTTATCCCCTATATATTAGTCACTGATCATTCCTATGAGTAGTCATCTCGAAGCTTCCGCTAACAGACAAACGGGACTTCATGTACTAAATTGTCATGGTGCTAGGTCTCTAGGGAATATTGCTTGTGAAATGAGCTAAAGAACTGACCAGCTCTTCATCTAAAGTGATTGGGGGACGGTAACTCCACACAGGCCATATGTTGAAACTAAGCCAACCACAGCTCGTCTAGCTTCGATCTTCAAATCAAGAGCATGAACAAGGCTTTAGTAATCCGTGTTTCTAATGGATAGTCGAGTCATTTGGCCATTATTAACTTACTTGCCCACGAACCGACGGGGAGATACAAGTGTCTCGGTTTGAGAAGGGATATATCCGGCTAGCCACTGGGAAAGGGTATCAAAGCCTAATGCCATTTCCCCTCCTGGTGGTTGATATTCATCACAAATAGATTTGCGCTCCAAACTCTCACAATGACTTCGTGGGATAATCTGATGAAGAAGAAACAGGCTGATCGCGCTGCCAGTATTCCTGCAGAGTGGCGTGTACCAGAGGGACTACTCAGTCAGATGTCGCCAAATTCGAATTTAAGCGCATTCTCTTTGCTTTCGCAAAATTAGTTGCTGACTGAGCACGAGCGACACATCACCGAAGACTTCGCTGCAAAAGATCTATGTGCTGAGATTGCAGCGGGGAAACTGAGCGCTGTCGATATTTGCCGGGCATTTTGTCATAGGGCTTCCTTGGCCCATCAACTGGTACGGATAGTTGCGATTTCTTACACCGTTGAAACAGTCTTTCAGCTCACATGAGAACATTTTGTTTCAGACAAACTGTGCAACAGAAATCTTCTTCTCCGAGGCCCTTCAAAGAGCTCGCTTCTTAGACGAGTACTTCGAGAAAAAGGGTAAAACGATCGGGCCCTTCCATGGCCTTCCTATCAGCGTCAAGGCAAGCCTGATTTTTGATATGATGAACACAAAGACACAAAGACACAACGAGATCTAAGATATTCGTGAATAATATAGGATAGCTTCAATTCCAAGGGTCAAGACACGACATTAGGTTATGTCTCTTTTTTGACGCATCCGGCAGCAGAAAAGAATTCAGCCTTAGTGGACATATTGCTGGCGTACGGCGCAATTCTCTACATCAAAACAAACGTTCCCCAGACACTGATGGTAAGACATGAATTTGTACTCATTGACCTCTTTGCTGTTAGCACTAGTTCGCTAATTGCTACTACATGCTAGACGCCGGATAGCGTCAACAATGTATTTGGTAGGACTTGAGATCCTCATTGCTTGAGTCTGACCCCTGGTGGGAGCAGTGGCGGAGAAGGTGCGCTTGTTGGATTTCGCGGTTCTATCATGGGAGTTGGCACAGATATTGGTGGTTCGATTCGCGTCGCATCTTTTTGCAACGGTATTCACGGCTTTAAACCCACAGCAAACAGAGTTCCTTATGGCGGGCAGAAGTCGCCGGGACGGCTCGGTTCACCTGGGATACCGGCCGTTGCTGGACCTCACGCTCATTCAGCGGCTAATCTTCCTTTCTTCACGAAACAAGTCTTTCTGGCCAAGCCATGGACACGAGATTCGACTGCGGTCGGTTCTCCCTGGCGGGAAATCCCCGGAACCCCAGTTTTGGACATTGGAGTTATCATCAGCGATGCAGACTTTCCAGTGAACCCGTCAGTCACCCGAACAATGCATTCGGCAATTGAAAAGCTGAATTTAGCAGGCCATAATGTAAAAGTGTTGTCAAACTTTCCGCCTATTATGGAAGGTACGAAGATTGCCTCGAAGTTCTTCATGCTCGATAACAAACGAACCTCGTTGCAACATATCAAAGCGGGCGGCGAAGAGTGCATTGAGGCATTGAAGTATGCATCGCCAACCCGAATCGTAGAAGCACGACCCTGCACTTTAGATGACGTTTGGGATGCTCAATTTGAGTTGCAACAGTACCGCCAGAAAGTTTTCTATGCATAGCAAGGTGCGGGTATTCAAATCATTATATGCCCCGTGATGGCTACTCCAGCCGCACCTCACGATTCATATGACATACCCGCATATACCAGGTTATGGAATCTATTAGATGTAAGGGTTTCTTTATCTACTTCTCTTTATATTCATTTCAGGCACGTGAAGAGCTATCAGGCATTCCTCTTTCTTTTTCTTGTTTCTCTTTCTTTTGCTATTTTCTTTTCTGTGATTACTAATGAGCGAGGCAATACAGATTTCCGCGAGCGTCGTCCCGTTTCTCAAAACCGACAATAACTTGGATTATAAAGAGATTGTCAATGGTGAGTGTTTCTATTATATACCCTCATTTGAAGCGGATGATTGAGAGTGAAATAGGGGGACTGGAAATTCACGATGGAGTGCCGTGTGGATTTCAAGTCGTTGGTTGGCGGTTTCAAGATGAAGAGGTCCTTCAAGCAACTGAGACCATTGACAAGGCTTTGCGTGCTTGACTTTACTCTTCCACCTCGCTTGATCTTAACCATGCGCTTTCTGAATTTCTTGACATTTTTTGCTCGCCCGCCGCAATTCTACAGTAGACAACGACTTTGCTAGATAATATATTAAGGGGCGATTTTTTGCTGTTGACTGTCCTTCACTATGACCCGAGGAGTCTCTAAAGACTAAATATACTATCGTGCCGGAAATTGCGAGGAATGTGATCACGAAATCAGTACTATCTAAATCACACATTACTACTAATGAATTGCCGTCTTTCATCTAGCCAATCGGCTCAGTTTCAGCCATCCCACTCGTTCTATTCCAGGCCCAGGAGGCACTGCTGAAGTACTATTACCTATCATGAGTAAAGGGCGTGACCACAAAGCTTAGCCGTACGTATCAGTGAGGCTATTCTGACTCAACATGGCTCATCATTGGGTTTCACCACGTCTCGGAGCTTATCAGGGATGTGATTATGCACTGGGTCGGACACTAAAATAAGCCAATAGTTCATACACTAAGCTATGAAATACACCGGCTCCCCTGGACCGCTCATTGGTTGGCCAGGGTCCATCAGGTGTTAGTAGCAGAGCGATACCAGATCAACCTCCGGACCTAGTTAGTGAACACAAATGACTTATCAGGGTTACAGCTAATACTGCAAACCATCGAGTGACGTTTGAGGGATGATTATCGGTTACACTCGACTAAAATAGTCATTCTAACCCTCCAAACCTGGGTTAGACATTTGACTCTGAGCCACGGACTATGTTTCTCGAGCTCGAGGTTATCCATTTAGGTATTGGCGCACTATAGATGCGGTCTCAAATTGAACTTGAGGCAAGCTTCTTGCCAACAGGAGCCGGATTATAAGATATCGTTCAGACGGTAACTGGCCTATGCTTCATCCATTACTTCTCGGATACTTCCCTTTCGCATTTTTCTTGTGTGATTTGAGAATTGAGTAAAAGACCACTATAGCCAAAGTCTCTTTCATGATGGCTCTTGAACCCCCAGGCACCGTTCCGATGCAGAACCGTGAGCAATTGAGACCCTTTCTGTTCCTCCTATCGAGAATTTGCACCTAAAGTCCTCTACAGCCCCGTTGCAATACTTCTGCTGTCATACTCACGAAAGAAGGTTGAAATGGTGGGTTAGCGGGCCTTTCACCAAGTTTATTTATTGTTTAGCTTTGGTTATCAAACAGTATAAAATGTCAGTCTTTACAGAGTCTGGTGGAGGTACTAATACCACAACTACTCGTAGATGTCTGAAGAAAATAAGGGCGGCCGAAGAAACCGGGTTTGGAAAAATCCTTCAAAACCTATACCGATACTGACTTCAAGATCGGTGGGAATCTTATGCATGAGTGTACCTGACTCGGCAAGATTGTCACAGGGGTCATTGTTGCATTGAGCGGGTTCGGGGGCTGATGTCGATCCCACTCGCTTTCGGACCCGGGATTTATTGGTGGACTTTGGGCTTAGTGGAAAGCACGAAGCTCCAAACACCAAACACCCATCGAAGGACCAGAAGATAATTACACGTGCGATCGTAGGAACTACCGACGCTAGGCATGCCGAGGGCTAGTCTCGTTGTGCGATTCTCCTTCAATTAAACATTGGCAGTTGCTGTCTTTGACAGGAAACGCGTACTCGGTCTCGCTTTAGCGGCAAATGCAACGGTCCGCTATGCACGTCACCTGGTGGCTCATCTTCCCCGTATTAAGACATTCAAAGCCCCGGATCCTGGATTTCTCGGTCATTTATTTCCTGGCATTTGGTAGCAATTAGATCATCTTCCGAATGGAAAGGGGCCGTGAATCTTCGGAATCGTTTGTGACCAAGCGCATCCACATTGCGGAGAGCTCGGCACACCTTCTTATATAAACTTGTCTTCGACATCTTTAATTGCGACATTCACCTACTGCCGTGTTGCATTTTTAGCATGTTGTAAGGTGTTACTCTCTTGTCTCTCCTTTAGCCATCATCATGTCTCCCATTAGCATCGTGTTTGCGACCGCGATCCTCGGCGCGGCATCAGCGACCTGCATCAGCAATGGCACTCTCTCTAATTCTGGTGCAGATTGCGCCTGCTCAAAACTAGCGTCTCAGTACGGAGATTCGCTTCTATATCCCTCATCTGCCAACTATACCGAGGAACGAACAGATTACTGGGACATCCGGTCTGACTTGCTCCCTGCCTGCATATTTCTCCCAAGCGATGCGGACGAGGTGGCGAATGCCGTCTCTGTGTTTTCTACATGCGATGCTCAGTTTGCGATTCGTGGTGGAGGTCACATGAACGTTGGTTTCCGTGAAGATACCCTCCCTTCGCTCGTCGATGCTAAGACTGCGTCCAGTTTCCGGGATCCAACAACATTGATGGGGGCGTCCTTGTTGCACTTGAACGGCTCAACAATATCCAAGTTTCCGAGGAGAGTCTAACATTCGAAGCTGGTCCAGGGAATAGATGGGTTGATGTGTACGAAGCTCTGAGCTCATATGGATTATATGCCATTGGTGGTCGTCTGAAGACTATTGGCGTCCCGGGGCTTAGCTTGATAGGTGGATTTCACTACTTCATTAACAAGTATGGGTTTGTGATGGACAACGTGATTCAGTACGACGTAGTTCTCGGAAACGGAACTCAAATAGTTGCGAGCAACACCACAAACTCTGATCTCTTCTGGGCTCTGAAGGGTGGTGCCAACAATTTTGGCATTGTGACCAAATTCACCTTCAAAGCCTATCCGATCCCAAAGATCAGCACGACGATTCAGCAGTTCAACGAGTCTATGATTCCAGATTTCCTCACAGCTGCAACGGACCTAGTTAAATATGACAATCCGGATCTAGCAGCTGGCCAGGTCATCAGTATTCAGTACAATGCCACCACAAAGGTCGCAAGTGCTTCGCTTCTGGGCGTGCAAGAGGGCACGGAATCACCGCCGTCAACTTTCGCCAACTTCACCGCCATCCCGGCTGTAGCGAGAATCAACAACGTCACGGCCCCTATCGTGTGGCACTCTGCGTTGGACTCGCCCAACCAGATGTTCCGGTAAATTCTCCTGTCCCAATCTTCGAGTTTTGTCGCGCCCAAGCTCTCGACTCTGCCTGCACGGTTCCCGCTAACGCGATTTGTAGTGTACAATTTGCTCATAAGACCATGCTTCCTGACGCTGATCAGCTTTTAAATATTTACTTGGCTTGGAAAGATGCTGTTGATGCGATAGCCGATGTGGAGGGCCTGTATCCCACCTTTGTCCTCAACACGATTCCGAAAAGCGCCGCTACTGTCGGAAAGACCAATGGCATTGGAAACGTATGGGACCTGGATGACAAAGACTCGCTTCTCAGTATGTTCGCCGCATGGCTATTCTCTGACTTGTCTCCAGCAAATCCTTGATACCGTTCAACGACTAACAGGTGCCTACAGTATGGCAATTTTCCACCGGCTGGGCCTTAGCCAAGGACGACTTGCGTATGACTGCCTGGGCTCAGCAGACGGTCGACTATCTGCACTCCTTGAACCAAGAGAAGGGACTAGCGTCTGAGTTCATTTACATGGGCGATGCTGGTGAATTCCAGGACCCGTACCTCGGCTTCCCATTGGAAAACGTCGAGCGGATGCGAAGTATCAGGTCTGAATATGACCCACAGGGAGTCTTCACGAGGCTGAACTGGGGAGGGTTTAAGCTCGGCTATTGAGACTCGTGTGCTTTTCTCTAAAAATAGACGAACAACGAGGTGCAAAAAACGGACCTAATCGATCCTGATGAACTTGAGAAATTTAGGGGAACTAGGTGGATTGGCTCTTCATTAGCAGTACAGAAAGATGACTTTATAATGTAAATTTGTATTAGAACTTCTACATATTTGTGCAACATAGAACTCATAAGAGTGAATTAAATCTGTCATTCCAGCAAATGCATCAATCCAAAGCACGAAGCTTACAAGAACTATCACAAAGCATGTCGTAAATGCCGACTACTTACGAAGAAGCAGTCGGTGAGATGATTGAACCCGAAACAGAGATATGTACAAGAGACCAAACGCAATGAGATGAGGGCCTAAATTCGAAGAGATATTTCATATCGCATCAAGAGCGATGTCCAGCCCGATGTCCGGGACAAGCATCAGAAGCACTGGCCAAGTGTTCACGGCAAACACCGAGCAGGGACGAAAACCCTATCACGGAGCGTGACATCGCTTCTCAAAAACACAACAAAGCTAATTTACCGCGGCGTGAGGCCCTACGAGGCTACGAGAGCGCTTATCAGCGCTGGCGCGATGTGGGAAATGAGCATGCTGCAGGCTAAAGTCGAGACAGAAATTAGACGGCGTCTGGTAGGTCACCAAACGGCGTGGTCCAGACCACACTAGGAAGCTGTGCGGCGTAAATCTTGGCGCGGCGGATCGAAGACATTGATGGTATCGTTGTAGTTTTGGACGTGTGCAGCCGTACGGTATACCATACTCCTCGAGATGCTATAAGCGAGCTTTGGGCACACCTAATTTTGAGGCGCTGATCTAATGCGACGCCGGTATCTCTTTATCTTGATAGGGGAAATTGGCACGGCCTAGACGAGCGAGAGAGATTGCCGTCGAGTGTTCTACTACGAGGGGCTTATGGAAAGATGGGCCTTCTCCAAGTGGAAGCATGCTGCGAAGTCCGCCGTCATCAATTGTCATGAGTGCGACTGGGGGCTTTGAAACAAGTAGCGATGGCTTATGTGCTGGAACCTCTGGGCGTCGTTGTCATCTCATCTCAGCACCGGTGCCTCAGCCCTGCTGCTGCTTTTTGAGCAATTGGCGGCTGAATGAGTGCAACGCTCTGAGTAGCATTTTGCATAAGGTGGTATCAAGCAACCTAGCCTTGAGTGAAGCTCCGACACTCCCACAACATCGTCGGTCCGCACGTAGTAATGACGGCACAGCAAACCGCTAAGGTAAGGCTAGGGACGCTTTCCGAAGCTCTGATGCAAAGCCATCCGTCGCGCTGTCGAAATATTGGAAATTTCGATAATGCAGGTGCCGGCCTACCCGATGCGACACTGGGGCCTGAAGCGGCAAGGCCAGGGAATCTCGATTTGGGCTGTCCGTGATCTTGGCGCCGCCCGCTGGAGGGTCGCGGCGTCGCTTATCTGCACGACAGAGATAGGCGTCGCACACCTGGGCAGTGTGGCTGATGTATTACAGCAAACTGGTAGTGGTGTGTGCTCTCACACACTGAGAGTTTGACCGATGGGAAGCGACTGGGGGCTGAATTCGAGAATGGATGCATGCGCAATGCATTGCTGACGAGGTGACACAGTGACAGGCACGACGAGACGACGAGACGACGACGGTGAATCAGCTTTGGATACTAACTAACTACTTCAGTGTCCTTTGGGGTTGCTTTGCATCTTCAGCTTCGACGTCTGGTGGTCAGAGAGATAGGCCGAGACAACCCGACACGGGCGGAGAATGCTCAATCCGGGGAAAGGAGAGGAGAGGAGACGCGCTGTTTCCTGATCTCCACCCCGTATTCCCAGAGTTGCGTGTTCTCTGGTCGGCAATGCAGACAGACATTGACAGCCCAGTGAGTATCTGCAGTCTACGAGGCGCAGAACCAGGTGCTTTCGAGAGGCGGTCGGCTCTGCCAGCCAAGGAGTTCTTCCGACAGACTGTTCTGACTTATCACGAAGGAGAATCTGCAAGTGGCACGGACATTCTCAGCCGCGGTCGTGGTTCGGCTGGTCAATCAATGTCAAAATGTGCCTGAAGTCGATTGCCCTCGCTCCCAGCCCGTGTTTGCTCGCTTGCTTGAACCTCCTCTCTGCCGAGCCTGAGTCGAAGGGGACGAAGAGGACGAATAGGGCTCTGTGCGTTCCGTATATCCGAGCCCGTGAACGAAGCTCAGACCCTGATCTACCTCGCGATCTTCCATGACGCATGCATGCTCGAACTTCGCCCGGCAGAGTTGAGACGGTGAAGCAGCAGCCGTCCAAAAGGTCAGACTATGGAACGAACCAGTGCAGCACGGTAGGATTGCATGCAGAATAGACTGATCGCCAAGCGTAGCCCCCAGAAGACAGCATCAGCTACTTTCGCCGGGCGTCTCACTAGCAGCGGAGAGCCGCAAAATTGGCTTCTCAGACCCAATCGGCCGGCTTTCCCACTGAAGGACGCTAGAATTTGGGGGGCGGGACTCCCCCAGTGAACAGCCAATATCAGGTCGTCGATATCTACACTTTCAGTTAAGACCGTCCTCGATCAGGCCCAATAACCGGCCTAGCCAATGGGTGGAGCGTGGTGGCCGCGGAGACCCAAGACCGGTAGGATTTTGCACGGTTTATCCTGATTAAGAGGATCGGCGCGGCGACTTGCTGGGTTGAATATGCCTGGACATGGCTGTGCTGGCTGTCTATCAGTCAATTGAATGCATTATCGTGTCCCATATCTCTCCGTCTTCTAACCTGTTCGCGCCGGTGTAACATGCGGTGAACAGGGACGAAGGGACGGGTTGGGCTTGAAAGGCGCTGGGGGCAGATCAGGGGTAGCTTCGGTAGTCGATTTCGATTCCAATCAATCAATGTCGCGCAACGTCTCCACGACCGTTGTCAATCTCCGATCAGCACGCGACCGGAGAGCCAAAGAGCATGGAGAGACGGCTTGCCTCCCAGGCCACACTAACACAAGTGGCTTGTAGGAGGTCCTCCTTAATGGACCATGCATCTCAAGTTACAAGTAGAAGAGAGCGTGCCCTGCCCGGTCCAAGCTTACTGTAATGCACCATACTGTATCGTGTATATGTGCTGCCTTTTGCTATTCCCTGTCTGTGTAACTGCTGCAGTCCGGCTTACCCCTGCGCCACATGAGCGCATCACTGGCAGAGGGGGACACGAGCCAGTGAAAAGGGCTGAAAAAGAGATACAACGCGAGGAGTGTGGTTGGCGCTCCTTATCATGGGTGACCCAGTCTGGTCATCCCACTGCCATGCCGCTTCTACACGTGTATGGGCCGGCCGTCTTCTACGTGTAGTTTTATTGCAACGGGACAGCCACCACAATAAACCGTTCATCTTAGCCCGGCAAGGTTCGATATTAAAAAGGAAATAAGTGCGTGCACTTGTTTTTTCCCAGGCGAAGAGAAGGAAAGGAAAGTGTAGTGAAGTGAAGAGACTGTACGTATGTAGATAGCACAATTTGGACCCCAGCCAACGATTGCCCACCCACACCCATCCACGGTCCACTCCGTTCTCAACCAGGGCAAAACTGCGTGCTGCAGGTACTTTGGGTTGACGTTATCTTGTTCCAGGTTTGCTTCCATTTCTGCAGCTTGTTCGTCCCTGGTTCGTCTCATCTCAGGTCCGCGGTGTGTCAATGATATGCTACTCGAGCTACTGTACCTGGCTGCAGCCCCTACGGTACAGTATCTACTTATCATAGAGTTACAGTACGCAGTCTGTCCTAATCTTAGCCTTACCTAGCCTTAGCTTTTAGTCTTGCCGTAGTCCAAGGTCAATGATTGCGTGGTGGTTGTTTCTATAATTCCTTCTGTACCCAGTCCACCCACATTACCTACAGTACATTAGGTAGGCCTTATCAACAGCACGCACTCATTAGATTTATCGATCGACTGACTGACTGGGCTTTGCTTTTTATATCCTTGCGTGTCCGGGTCCGCCTGGTCTCTCTCTTGTTTGACACACTGTTCTTGATACTCTCTTACTCTCTTCCGCCGTTGCCCAGACCTCTCGTATGTTTCGTGTTTTCCGGGCTGCGGAGACCAGGCGCGAGAGCCGGAAACAACCCTAACCTAATAATAACGACAGCCCCGAGATTAGCAGGAGGAGACCCGACCGACCCAGCACACTGGGGCCGGCGACTGGATCTCGCTCTGACGCGAAGCACCCGACTCTCTTCCTACTCTAGAGTAGTGCAGAGTAGAGCGAGGAGTGAGGAGCAGCAGCAGGCCATGGCGGCGGCGGCGGGCCAGCGTTACAGCAGTCTACCCCAGCACGAGGAGGGCGATGACGACACTAGTACTGCCAATGCTAGCAGGAGTGTTGCTGCTAGCGCTAGTAGTAGCGAGAGACTAAGTAGCGACGGGGAAGCTGAGGGTGAAGGAGAAGAAGCAGGATTGGGATTGTTAGGACTAAAGTTAATAAGAAGTGGAGGAGAAAGAGGAGAAAGAGGAACACGAGCTGGGGCTGGCCTTCGCTTTCCCAGCAGCTCTTCACCAGCCTCAGCATCGGGCTCCACAGCGGGCCTCTCCCCCATGACTTTTCTGTCGCTTGCTGACTCGACTTTTACTCCGCTGTCCATGACTAGCACCAACAGCGACCTCTACATCGGCAGTTTTGGCGACGAAGACTTGGACAAGTACAACTACAATTACAACGACTCTGACGAAGAAGAAGAAGAAGAAGACGACGGCGACGACGACGACGACGACGACAAGAAGGATCATGGCGCAGCGCAGTCGCCCAGCCACAGCAAGAGTAAGAGCAAGAGCAAGAGCATCACCACTATCACCACTATCACCACTATCACCAGTGAGGATCAACAGCCACAGCACCAGCCTCAGCGACATCACACAGCAGCATCAACATCAGCATCAGCATCAGCATCAGCGTCGACTTTGGCAAGGTGGTCAAGGCGACGAAGCCTGCTGAAATCGTCATCCGCTTCGGGACTGGGAATGGGACTGGGCGGCGGCGGCGGCGGCGGTGGTGGTGGTGCAGCATTGACAGCAACAGCCACACCCACGACCAGCAAAATGGCCACCCACACCCAATCGCTGCACCCGCCAACACGAGCACGAGCACCAGCACCAGCCGCAGCCACAGAAACAGGACCAGGACCAGGAACAGGAACTGGAATAGAAACTGGACCTGGATCTGGGAATGGATACGGGCTGCTGCTGGCAAATTCGCCCACCCCGGACAGCGACAGCGACAGCGACAGCGACAACAATATCGCCAATGATAATAATAATAACCACAATAATAATACTAACAGCGAGAAACGGCCACTGAATCGCAGTAGTCATCACGATGCTCACACAATAACCCCGAGCTCTTCTGTTAGTCCGGCAATTGACAAGTCTCTTTCGCTGGCCGGCGCCGACATTACTACGGACGACGACATCGAGGAGAAGAACGCTGCGAGAAATAGGAACAGGGCCTCTCCTCCGGCGCGAGCGAGCAGCAGCACAAGCCACAGCCCCATCCACGACAGGAGTAATGCTAATGCCCACGAGGAATCTGAAGAAGCGACCCAGACCCAACTCCAAGACAGTCTCGGACTAGCGAGACATGACCACATTGCAGACACACACAAGACACCCAAACACACCAAGCCACATCCACATCCACATCCACATCTAAGCACCCATCCTCCGAGTCCCTCCAATTCCAGAGCGCCGCAACCCGTCGCCGCCTCATCCTCCTCCCCCGAATTGATTCGGCCCAAATTCGTACGAAAGTCTCTACCCCCGTCCGTGACATCGCCGACTTCGACAGCAACCTCATCATCATCATCACCACCGCTGCCACAGCTGTCTTCCGCGGGCCCGTCCCCCATCCAATCACGGAGGCACTCTCCTACCATCATCCGCACCGCCTCCGTCAGCTCTGTCCTCCGACATCCCGTTCCGGACCTCAACACGCGCTCCGGCGCGTACACGGGCAACATTGCCGCCCTCGAGGCCACCGCCGAGCGCCTGTCCATGACCAGCAGCATCGAGGACGCCATCCGCAACGCCCACGACGAGCTCAAACGAAGCGACAGCCGACGCTCCTCTATCCTCGCCTCCAGCGTCCGCAGCGTGAGCGGTGAGCACACTATCGAGGGCCTCGATAAGATCCCCCCGCCGCCGTCCATTCGCCAGAGTTCGATCCTCGAGCTCAACAACGCTGCACGCCTCGGCGGATACAGCCCGGCTGGGTTCGTGATGAGCCCGAACCACTCGCTGAGCAGCCGCCTGAGAAGTGGCAGCAAGAGCAGTGCCGGACCGTTATCCCGACATAGCAGCACGAAGAGCAGGCCCGGCGAGACGGTCGAAGGCGACGCATTCCCCTTCCTGTCGAGGGCAGGGCCAGGCAAAGGATCGGTGCACAGCGTGCACAGCGTACACAGCGTACACAGTGCCCGGTCCGCTCAATTGTCACTCGCCGAGATCGCTGAGATGGAGCCACCCACCTCTCTAACACAGGAGGCCATGGAGGCCGCAGATCATGCTGCTTGGAGCGGTCCAGACGTCGAGGACGAGGAGACCATCCGCATCAACGCTCTTCAACATGTCGAGCCCGGCGCGACAGACATCGAGGTGGATATGGACCTTACGCCCAACGCCGACACCGAGGCAAGACAACCGATGCTTGATCATGCGTTGGATTCATATTGGAATGACGAGCCATCGCCACAATTACAGCTACGGAATCCCGAAAACCCCGTACCCCATCGAGACGAATATCAACCGCCCACCGAGCAACGACCGGCTTCGGCAGGCTCACACGGCACATACGAGCAGACGAATGCATTTGATGATTTCGACGGTGTCCATTGCGACCCTGACACGGTGGCCGAACAATTTCCCTTTCACCCGGAGGAGGCTCAATTTCCTCCCCCGGTACAGCGACAATCACGACCCATCTCCCAGCTGCCTCCGAGGCCGAAATCCTACTTCGATACCGAGACGGGCCAGCAAATGCTGTACTATCCTGCCCGTGTACCTGCGATGCTAAATCTGCCGCGGAAACTAGGCAAGGGACCACGAGCTCCTGCGAGGAATGTACGCCGCAGCCAAATCCTGAGCGCCATGCCCGAGGCGTCGCGTGAGTCCCGTGTGTGGCTGCCAGACCCGCTAGAAGGGCAGATGGGCAGCCCGCTGATGGACGAGCGCCATTCCACGAGCTCGCGAGGGCCTGCGTCCGGGTCGGTCGAGCAGTTCCCTCAGATGCCGGAGCCTGCCGTCCAGGACGTGCCGGGTCCCACTGTGCAGGATGAACAGCCGCCCGAGCTGCAGCATCTTCGTCGGCCTGCCAAGCTCACGGATGCCGACAGGCGGAAGTCGCGCATGTCAGCCATGCCCGAGCTCCCGCCTCAGCTCCGTGCCAGCGCCTTCTTCGACCTGCCGTCTGCTCCGGCGCCCAAGATCGAGATCAAGGACGGCTCTGCGATGGCTACGCTGGACAGCATTCTTGACGCGGCTGCTTCAGCGCCTGTCAGTGCTTTTACTGACCACGCGTTCGCCGGTAAACTTGGCTCGGAAGTGTACGGCCCAGTCAAGCAGAAGAAGAACCGGCAGAGTCAAATGCCCGGCGGCAACAACAGTGACAAGGGCCACAAGGCTCGTGCGAGCACGGCTACCGCGCTCGGCGTCCCCGAGGTTGAGAAGCGCAAGTCCATGTGGTCTCTGCTTCCCGGTCGTCGTGTCAGCGATGCCGCCACCGTCGAGGGCGGGCGCAGCACAGTGATGCTCGTTGACGAAGAGCGCCAGCGCCTATCTGGTGAGCGGTCGCCGCTCTCTGAGGGCGGAGCAGCCTTAGCCCCTGACGAAGATGAGGCTGATTCAGCTTCGTCTGAGGAGGAAGAAGAGGAGGCATACCAAGGGGCTCCGACGACGTTGCTTGCCGAATTGCAGCTGCGCAAACAGCAACAGAAGATGCGGACTCGCCCTGTGCACAAGGCATTCCCCAACGGAATGCACTCTACCCTGCTCGAGCTCGACGCCGTAGCTCAAATCGAGGCTAAGCAACGACGAGGCAAGAAGGTGAACCTGGCCTGGGAAGACCCAGACATGAACCCCGACGCACAGGAGGAAGACGACGAGGACGTCCCGCTCGGCATGCTGGTCGCCAAGAAGCAAGCCGGCAACGGAGACATCAGCGCCGTGGCCGCCGAGCTCAACAGGCCCCTCGGCCTGATGGAGCGCCGCGAGATGGAGGAGAACGAGCCGTTGAGCCGCCGTCGTGACAGGCTGCAGGGCAAGGAAGTCCCCGTCAGTATGTACCTGAACCCCGCCGTCGCTGGCGGGCCTACGCGCCAGAGCGTGCTCAACCTCGCGCCGAGCATGTCTGCGCTAAACCTGAACCAACGCGGTCTGCCGAGCCCGCGCCTTGTGGAGCTTGACGACGACGATGTGGAGGGCGAGACGCTGGGTGAGCGCATGAGGCGGCTAAGGGCCAAGGACGAAGCAGAGAACCCGCTCCCGCGCACTCGCCCCGTTAGCATGACCTTCTCGGCTGAACTCCTGAGCCAATTCGGCGGCGACGATGATGACGCGAAGAGCAAGGCGGAGATCAAGGGCAAGGCCAAGGTAATCACTGGGCCGCCGGAGGAACAAGAGACTCTCGGCCAGCGCCGTCGCCGTCTGCAAGCCGAGCGCGAAGCGCGCGAACGGGAGATGGCTGCCGGTGGAGGCGCGGCCGTCAACGTAGGCGCGCTGAACGCTCTCAATGGCAACGGTCCCGAAGGCCGTCTTACTCGTCGCCTTAGCCTCGCCGATGTGCTTTCCGCCAACCCTCTCGACTCGGCGCGCGGCGCCATGGATCCCCGGGAGCAAGAGCGTCTCCGGCGCGAGGAAGAGGCTGCCCGGGCGCAGAAGCTCAAGGACGAGCAGATGCGGCTTTATCGGTCACAGATGCCTTCCACGCTACGCGATCCCACTTCCGGCATGAACAAGGCCGGCGGGTATCTTGGTGGACGCTTCAACGATGGCAATGCAGGCGGCGGCGGTGTTGGGCTGGGGCTCGGGCTGCGTTCCAGCGCAAGCATGGGTACGTTGAACGGTCAGATGAGAGGCGCGTCACATAGCTATTATTCCCAGGCTCAGGGGCAGCAACATCAGCAGTATGCCTACGGCGGCGTGCCTCAGCAGCAATATCCCCAGCAACAACACCAGCAGCCGACGATGAACATGGGCATGGGCGGATATACCCATCCCTACGGCACGATGACCATGACGGGTGCGTATGGCAATGGCTATGCGGGCGGGATGCCCATGCCGATGCAAATGCCGATGCAGATGGGCGGCATGGGAATGGGCATGCAGCATACGCAGGGCCAGTTGGATATGGTCGAGCGTTGGAGACAGAGCATCATGCCCTAGATGCTCGGCTTGGTCCAAGCCCATATTCTTACAACCGCACCCTGGACATCCGCACATTTGACAAGAGAACGAAGACTATATACCTATCTATCCTTCTCATACATATACACATTGCAATTGCAGCAAAGCACCCTTTGGACACATAGACACAGGAAAAGATACATTTTGGATGGGTCAATCGAAAGCGCAAAGCAAAGCAAAGCATGCAAACTTACTCTTCTACTTAGCATTGCATGGGCGGCGTATAGACTGCATGCAGCATATTTCTTTACAGCGTTGAAGACGGCGAGCGGGTGGAATTGTATAGATCAGTTGGTTTAGTGGCCAGCAGGATGGGGTGGTATCATGCCATGCTTATACTTGTGTCCACACCTATACCTCCTGGCTGTTATGACGATAACATACATATAGATGAAATGAATGGATTGGATGTTACTCATCATGCTTTGGGATTGTGTGTTCCTATGGTGACTGCGTGCCAATACTATCTTCGAAAGCATGGCTCATTAGAGTTTCGTTTTGGCACGGGAAGTAGAGCCGAGTAAGAAGGAAGAGTATCGCTGCAAAGCACCAGATAATGGTGAACCCCACAACCTAGATATGTATCGGAGAATGCCTCCTGTGACTGTAATTGTTTATTCATGCGATCCATCATCATGTCCTCCCTCCTCGGTTTCCGGTATGTTCACCACACATGAATATTGTGACTTTCTTCGAGGCTCAGCTTTCAGGTCGTCTGTTATCCAAGCACTCATAAGATTTCACACAACAAGACACATTTAAGAGAACAAGACTTTAGGACAAATCAGCCATGGCTTCTGAGACGTTTCATCCTTTCGCCAGACTCCCGGGAGAACTACGTGATTGCTTCTGGGATCTCGCAGCGCTGGCACTGGAAGATCGGCCAGCAGCGCACTTCTTCACTCTTGTCAATATCAAGGAAGACATGCCGTTCATTTCGCTCAATGACACCATTGGTGAGAGGGGCGAGGGCAGCTACTGCTTAGCGGCACCGCAGTTGTAGTGGACAGAGGGTAATGTCGTGGACAAGGTCAAATCCCTCGGCCTATTTATCTGAGACTGGGCTTTGGGCTGCGTGTAAAGAATCTCGACGGCGAGTCCATAGGCACCGGAGTCCTCTAAACTGGAATGGTTGGCTTAGTGCGTCTATCGAGAACTACGGCTCCGAAGCCGGCCGACTTCCACTCCAGACGACATTCTATCACGCCGGACAGACACAGAACTTTCACCATCTACCCAAAGTCGGATCTCTTGTGCCTTCGGCCTTTTTAACTTTGACACCATTGAATGGGATGAGGTTCCTGGAAATGTGTCTATCGTCATTGGAGGCTTGGTCGGGATACGCCACATGGCACTGGAGTTTGACCCGACATGGGGCAGTCCCCTTAGGTCTCCAGCACCTTGTTTTGAAGCGACTGGTCCACTTCGATGCATTGCAACAGCGGCATCTTTTGGGACGTGTTGGACTAACAATCTTTGGTTCATCGACTACCGGATTCGTCGACGAATCGTGTAAATTTGTCGAGGTAAAGGGGAAAGACGCGGACTGGGAGCTAGCGACTGATCTCGATATTTTCGAAGTTTTAGATGAGCTGGACGAATCCTTAGACGACTACTTCATTGCAAACTTCTATGGACCGGATGAATCGCCAGATTCCAGGTGTTTCCAAGTCCGATGGGACCAGCCCGAGATTGGGGTTCTGGCGTGCGAGGTCTTCGAGAAGTGATCATTGCAAGAAATTGGATGAGGTCCAAGATGCTTCCGAGAAACATGAGCCGGTCATGGACTTCGTGGTCCACAATATCTCGTCCGGAGAGATCGTTGATTGAGGAGTTAGAAGCATTTCGCCATGGCGTTCGGACAGATGCGCAATTCTTTTTTCCCCCTTGTATTTGTATATCTCAGTTATTGAATTGCATGGCGCTAATTGCCTATCGCACTAATATAAGTGTGTCCAGTGGGAATACACATTGAAACTCTTGTAACGTCTACAGTGATTAGAGTGTCCTCTTAGCTTTGTATATCTGCCCGTTGCAAATCTTGACCCAGCTAGAAATAACACACCTTTAGCTGCTGAGATTTTCTAACAGAAATGCATCTATAGACGACAGAGTACAGCAATTTGTTGTGCGCACAGGAGATAGATCTAGCCGGAATGGATTTGTTTTGATGATTACCCGATTAGGTTACAGCTTTCTGATTGGCCGACATTATGACTCTAAAGTTCCAAGATTAGGCTGGACCCATCCCAGAAACTGTCATCTAGGATTAGTGACGGAAACACCGCCTACCATCTCATGCGTCTTTTGACCTCCTGATTTACCGTGGACATTTTCTATTGTCCGTGTGAGATCCTCGGAAGTCATGGCAAATCATTACGTGGCTATGGATGACCCTTGCCCACTCGGCCATGTATTAAAGTGCGGAAGCCCTCCCTCCCAATCCAGCCATGAGTTCTGCTGGAACATGATGATTGCTGTTAATTTTGCCGTAATACCTGCCTTTTTGCTCAGAATTAGGCATCATGCCTGGGTTCATCGACTTTGCTCGCAATCAGCATAGCAATCTACCAATTGCAGACGCTCCAAAATCAATCGCAAGTGAGACTTATATTGTCACGGGAGCTAACACAGGCCTGGGGCTAGAATGCGTCAAGCATATTGTCAAAAACGGTGCTGCACGAGTTATCCTAGCAGTCCGCTCACGATCCAAGGGTGAGGCTGCCAAGGCAGCTGTTCGAGAGGTGACGGGCCGAGACGTTTGCGAGGTGTGGGAGCTTGACTATGCATCGTTTGACTCGATTGAGGCATTCGCCAAGCGACTCGATACACTCGACCGCATAGATGCCCTTATTCTAAATGCCGGCCTTGCTATGTCCCGCCACACGATGGTGGAGGGCATGGAGCAGACCTTCCTGGTCAACGTTGTCAGTACGACGCTGTTAGCTGCTCGTGCAATCCCAAAGCTCCAAGCATCTGCCCGAAAGTTCAGTACCAATCCACGTCTCGTATTTGTCACGAGTAACGCAGCCATTGACAGCAAAGTCCATAAAATTGTGGCAAAGGCAAATGATGATGCTAATATATTCGATAACCTCGAGGATCCGAAGAACTTTACCCCTTTCACTACGTAAGTCCCTGCACTCTTTATTAAAGAGAGACTGCTTCAGCAATTTTGCTAACTTCGCCCGTTCTAGCTATCCCGCCAGCAAGCTAGTACAAATGTACGTAGCTCGTCATTTAGCTTCGCTACTTCCCCTGTCTGACTCAGGTGTCATCATCAACATGACAAGTCCGGGTTTGTGCTATACCGCACTCGATCGCGACGCTCCTCCTATTGGAAAATTCATGATGGCGACAATGAGGCTATTCTTTGCGCGAACGGCTGAAGTGGGCAGCCGAACACTTCTACAGGCTGCATTTGCTGGGCCTGAGAGTCATGGAAAGTACTGCTCTGAATGTCAGATCAAAGAGTAAGTTTATGTCATGCGTCAATTACCTCCAATCACAATACTCAGTTCAAGCCCTATTGATTACGGTTACGAAGACGGAGTCAATTTGTGTACTAACACGCACCTATAGGAATATTCTTCCAGATTGGATTGCAGGAGCCGAAGGGAAAGCTTTGCAAAAGCGCGTCTGGCAGGATCTAGTCAAAAGGCTTGAATATAAGGGACATGGGATCTCTGTGGTAGGAAATAATTGATCATTCGTCATGTAAACTTGTGGGAGTTGGGTTGAAGTGAAATATTATATAGCTTTTATTTGTGAAGTCACATTAGTTGCTCAAGATTTAGCTTATGACCCAATGAAATTATATGTTGCATAGTCCATAGACGAATCTGGATTGCCATTGAATGATTATTACTAATACGCCGATGTGACTTCGACGGTGAGAACTAATGAAATAAATAGCACCAATTATCAAACTCTCCCCTAGCCTACTGTGAGGCTAGTATCTGATCAATCCCTGCAAAACTGAACTCCTGGATCGTTTCCGTCAAAATAGCATCTGTCAATGCCTTCCCATCGGTGTAGTACCAACAAGCAAGCCTTTTCGTGCACCCAATGGTTAGTAAACCGTAGTACAGCTGTTCTATCTTGCTTTCTGACGTACGGAGAAATGTTACAATTCATAAGAAAGCAACCATGGAATTCCTTGCCATGGGCTAGGACAGCATCGACGTATGTCGCCGCCCCCTTTTCCACCGGCCTGCCTGCGATGCCAAACATGCCCTTAGCCATGATACCCACAAGACCCTTGGTGTCTCGTCCAAATTGTGTCCCTTTGGCCAGCCCTGGATCGACCATACTAATGATTACTTTGTTAGTGTTGACAATCTCTGCAAGCTTGACAATAAAAAGCTGTGATACTGGCTTTGACACTCCATATCTCTGTTCATGATCGAATGGTAAGATATCGTTATCATCGAAGGAGTGTAAGAATGGTCGTGTGTCCTTGTTTGGTACTTTGCAAAGATGTGCCATCACAGAATTCACAAATGTGAGTCGAGCTGGTTTGTTGTCTATCAGCTTGCTTTCCAGAACCGGTAGCAAGAGGATAGCTACCAATGCTGTGCCACTGTGGCTGATCTGCAAAGACTTTTCGTGACCATTTCAGGTATGATGACACGATTGGTCATAGCAACACCGGCATTGCGAATGACGATATCGAAACACGGAAGCTCTTCACACTTGCGCGCAAAACTTTGAATAGAAGTCTAAGATTCCATATCAAGCTGCCAAACATCGATCTTTGCCGCTGGATTAGCAGAACGTAGCTTTTTCTCTCTCAAGAGATTGCACCCCCATCACCAGATGCGACAACCCAAGTGATAAGAGCTGTTTTGCTGCCTCGAAGCCTAGACCGGTGTTTGAGCCCGTAATAAGGGCACATCTCCCCTTCACATCTGGATACCTGTCTTTGGTGGGCAGGTCAATCTTGGTGCGAAATTGATTACGGAAGAAGACAGGGGCAAAATGGGAAGGCAAAGGGTCCATGTCCTTCGAGGGAACGAGCTGATGTTGATCTAGCTTGCTCCTTGAGTGTGTTGGCATCTTGGGAATTGTTGCGTCAGCGGATTTGGGGTACTCAGATACAGAATTTCAAGTCAGTAGTGAAGAATCAATGTGATGATTGCGAGAAAATACTGCGTGCAGGTTCAAATGTGCAACTTGTTCAAACCGTTCATTTGGATTAATATTTTGCATGATGCTCCCGGGAAAGGTATATTGGACTCGATTGTTTTGTATGATTCAATATCAGATCCTCAATATGTCTCTAGATTGATAGTATAGGAAATTCTTTCACGCTAGTTCATCTAGACGAACTTTAGTTTCGATGCCTTCAGCATAAGCATCAACGGAATTGGATAAGACGCAACGATTTGATTACTAATTAACCGCTTGAACTGACGCTCACGTTCAAGAAGCTGTCTTGATACTGACATGGAGAGAGTGTGAGAATGACAGAAGTAATGGTGATCCCCTCACTACTTCTCATTTGGGAGGGGAGAGGGGGAGTACCAAAGTAAGCAAGGGCGTATTAATCAAGGAGGCGAGTATAGGCACAAGTGAACTTTATCTTGTTACATATAATTATATTTATCCAGGAGCTCTATAAGTAATTCTGTCCAGTCTGCAACTCCACAGGTCCGCCTTTATCTAGCTTTATGCATCGAGAGTTATCAAATCATGATGGGCTCAACATGGCTGCTGTTCTAAGGCCTCCATCTCTTCAATATAGATCGATTGGGACGCATAGTCACAAGCTTGAGACCATTTGTGCAAGGCTCCTCACCGCGAAGCAATAGACCAATCTCACTGGGATGCTTCCAATGCAAATAAATTACTGCGAGGAACATGAGAACGGCATCGAAGATGTAAAAGAACACCTCAGTCGTCTGAAGATAGCCCTTGCTTCCCTCGATGAACTCAATCGCACGAAAGAGTGACCGGACCATGACGAAGAAACTGACAATGTACAGAGTAATGAGATAACTCTGCCACCGTATGTCGGGTCGCTGTGCTGCCACCGTAGGAACTAATTTCATTGATCGATGAAACATGAAGGCAATGACAACGAAGAATGCAAACCAGATAAGTTGAAGGATCAGACTGGCAATGACTACACCATTGCCAATTTTGTAAAGAGCGGGAACTGCTCGAGACCCACCCATCAAGCCGCCGGCTGGGAAGAACAAGTGTTAGCTAAGGGCATTCGTCCATATTGGTTCTCTGCCTACCTGCGCATTGCATGAAAAGACAGATGAGGTCACCCGTCACAAAGGTTTTGGTAATGTATCGATGTTTAATTCTGACATGCGAGTCTCCATCTGTCAACTTTACGATTCGACCGAGAATGACATAAATCGAAGCTGAAAACAAGGCTGGGCTCAGGAGAATGAACACGCTTTGTATGATGTATGGCATCATTTTCCAACAGCCTGGCGCCTGTCTCGCAGACGCAGTTCGTGCAGCGTATCCGATGAACTCAGCTACGATGAAGCAACATGTTAGAAGCTTGCTCTATTGTCCAGATACTGAATTCCCGGAACCTACTGAAACAACCGCCAACAAGTGCACCCAAAAACCAGCTCTTTGTAAGATACACTTGCCAGGAGTGCACTAGTGTCGTAGCGAGAACAACAGGCAAAATATCATTGCAGCCGCCACGGAGGGCTCGTATCGGTAGAAGCTGAACGAAGCATCGCGCCAATTTGGGTTGCAGATTGCAGAAGACATATCGTCGAAATTTGAAAAGTACAAGGCAAGTCAGTAGAAGATTATGGTTCAGGTCAAGTGTGTGGGCGAACTGAGAGATCACAAGCTCATACATATACACAAAGTGCCCTTATACCTCTATCAGGGACGAATTAGTTCGTATTTGCAATCCACCGATGATTGGCAGATGCCCTGATACCTGCCGTACTTGAGTTGACCTGATTGGCGAGGGAGACAAATAACACAACGAGAGCCAATCCAAAGCCCAGCGATACGGCATGATTGACCCCCACCCAAGTTCAAAACCGCATTAATCACTTTCGGATTGCTTGCGTATGGTCTTGGTGGCCCATTGTTTCAAAGGGGGTTGTCTGGTGATTAGGAGTGATGAAGGTGCATGTTACACTATTGCGAATTAGCCCCCCTTTTAGTTAGAAGCATTGTGGAGTCGTAGTCGGATCTGTCTCTCCTGAGTCTCAACGATGGGATTCTTCACCAATCAGAGCCTGCCCAGTACGCGTACTCCATATCGAACCCATTGACTTCCGCGCATCAAACTCAAATACGCGTACATGCCGTATTTTACAAAAGCCACTGAGTCCCATCTATCCTCTGCCTGCTCTGCACGTTCAAGGTAACGAATGCGTCCACGCTCATAACCGACTCGTCTACATCCCTAGCGTATTGGGTCCGCCTCTGCGCTTCCTTTTTCTTATCATGACAGGTGCTGCTCGGCTGCGGCAATCGCATAAGAAGTCTCGAAAAGGATGCCGAGGTTTGCGCCCATTCTCCTAATGTTATCAAAGCTAATGTTTGAGTCACTAAAGAATGCAAAAACCGCCACGTCAAATGTGACGAGAGACATCCAGAATGTGGCGGCTGCGTCGTCACGAATCGACGATGCTCGTTTCTCGGCCTGAGTCCTGCCTCTCTTCCATCTCCAGCTCATCTCATCACACCTCCAGCAAGTGCATCGTCGCAACAGGCACTAACTCCTGTGACTGAGCCCCTGGCTGATTTTAATGTTGGCGATAATGTTAGCCTCAACCCTACGCCCTGCTGTGACATGCGGCATCTAGTGTTGCTCCATCATCTCGAATCCCAAGTGGCCAAAATGACTCGCACCTCCGCGACATGGCTGGCTGGCGCTGGCGCGGGCGCCGAAACCTGTGTTGAGGCCATATTCCAGTCTGCTTTTTCATCGCCCTATCTCATGCACGAGCTATTGGCCTTCTCGGCCCTCCATCTTAGCACACTGCAATCTGATGAGGTCCGCAAGTCGGAATTTTTAAGACAATCGGCAGAGCTCCAAACGCAAGGCCTATCGCTTTTCAATGCAGCAAAGCCCGAGGTGCGCAACGAAAACTGCTTGGCCTTGTTTGTGTTCGCCGCAATTCTTGGCATGCACACCCTCTTCGACGCCGTCGCCTCATGCAAAGGTAGTGTGGCCCTTGATAAGATAATTAATTATCTGAAGGTTCATCGTGGCGTCACTGCCATTACATATCAGAGTTGGCACACACTGCGCCACTCTGAGATACGGTATATCATCGATGCTATCGAGGCTGCCGACAGTCTTTACCGTCAACAACTTGGAGATACGGAGAATGAGTGTGACGTTTTATTGAACTTGTTCAACGAGTCGAGTGAAAAGCTCTCACCAGGGCAATATAAAGCATGCCTAGAGGCCATCCAAGCACTGCATTGGGTATTTGGCCTCCGTCGTACAGTCTCTGAACTTCATCCCATGCAGATTACATTAGCTTGGCCCGCTCGAATATCGGTTGAATTTGTCGAATCTCTCGAACAACGGCAACCAATAGCTCTAGTGATTCTTGCATATTGGGCTATTCTATTACACGCTGACCGAGACATTTGGGTCTTTGGCAATGCTGGCCGCCATATCATAGAATGTCTTTCTGCACATCTCGGTTCATATTGGGACGAGTGGCTCGATCTACCTCGAAGCGTCTTGAAAAGAAATGGACCGTAATAGAAGAACACACAATTTGGGCTTGGTTTGCAAAACCCTTGGCCGGAATATTAGACATCAACATCGTTGATGAAATATCGCTTATACCACCTTCAGCATCTTACCGCCCTACTTATCGAGTTCAGCTAGGAATTGCTAGATTTCCAAATGCTCTGGGCTATCGTCACTCAAATGGAGTGACGACGGTGTCTAACAGTAAACACAGCTGCCTGGTGAGAAACGCAACTGCCAAATATATTATCACCCTAGAGGACGCTACGGAGTTTATTCCAACAAGGCTCAAATAGGAAAAGTATAAAAGCATAGCGCGGAGACGACTCCAATTTAATCTTGGAACGTTACCAGGAGACGCTCCCTCTGGCTGTAAGGTAAGCAAACCTCTTAAATCTTTCCGCCGCCCACATAACAATTCTGACTGGCAATTTGCAGATTAACAGCCATAGCCAGAGCAGCTAAATGGCTCGTTGTCTGTTCCATGTACTCATCCTGAGACAAGCCATTCTCTAATAAGTAGGGCTGGCCAACGAAATCGACGTACAAGATATTGGGGTACGAGAACGGCGTGAATTCGTGATACGCATACCAGAAGAGTGTATTCAGCGCAATGGCAGCTCGATCTGAGAGAGGTGTGATTGCATCAGATGCCTTGAGTGTCATGGTCCAAGAAAGCACAAAGAAGTCATCGGCAGTGTCTCCGTCGCCCTCACGGCCAAGGCGACGGTTCAGTTTGAGCTTGGAGATCTGGTCGTTTCGCATTGCGTTGAAATCATCAGTGTCCGAATAGTCATTGTGGCGAGGTAGCTTGTCGTATAGGTAGAACCCTTTTTCTGGATCTGCATCCATACCGGGAATATTTCGAGCAACGGTCATCACGCAGCCTTGGCCGTCACCAATGAAGTCGTTCATCGTAAACTCGTCAAGTACCTTGTCGCCTCCGAAGCCTTTGCACGGCTTGCGAAATCCGTCCCGGACTTGCTGCCAAATGGGTCTCCATTGGTCCTCCGTGAGACGATCGTAGGATTGAGCAGATGTACGATGGTCGGTATCAAAGCCGGACTCGTCGCTCAGATCTATGATAACGAGTTCTCCGGGGTGATCGTCCATGAAGCTACATGTCGTCTTGTCAGCAGGCACTATGTGGTATTTAAGAAAAGTGAACCTCTCCTCACTCACCTATTAATCTGATCGATCATGACATCGACGGAAAGGCCGTTGGCACCAACAGCAGAGCCAGAAGTCACTGTATAATGGCAAAGCATATGCTTTCCACCATTGCCAAGACAGGGACGAACATCGAACCAGCGCGAGCCACGCATGAGCTGATTGTAAAAGTCCAGCCATTGGGTTTGTGTATTCGACCAGTCGGAGAAAGCCGTATGGCCATCAATGGTGCTCATTCCGGCGTCGTGGCTACCCGGCATGCAGACATACTTCAACTTCCGGTCGCCGATGACATCCAAAATGGAATGCATCCAAGCCACTGGTGGATTGGCACTGGACCAATAGCCGTATGTCTCGCTTCCTGTCAACACCCATTGAAGCGGGACGCCATCGTAGAGAGTGGGCCACCCCAAGTCAAAGACGGTGCCTGTAGCAACATCCTTGGTACCGATGTCAGTATAAGCGATCCTGGCTCGTAAAGGAGGCCAAATATCGTCGTCATCCACATAGTCAGTAGTGACATGCCATTTCTTGTCTGTGCCTTGGAGCTGATAGTATGCTTCTCCAGCAGTATCGCCATCATCTATGCCAGGACCCTGTTCAAATTCGATGAGGAATTGCACTGACTCCCCTGTGCATATTTTAATGAGATTACTCGATTTTTGGGAAAGAATATAGTGGATGGCAACATACCAGCAGGAATGGTCACCCATTCGCTGTCCCAGTCTTTCATCTGATGGTTGTGCTGCGACAAAAACTCAAAAGCATAGGGACAACCGTTAACAATTGTCAGGTATGCGAGTTGTTCGTCATTTTCTGTGCGTACAGCGGCATCTGCACCCGCAGGAAGGTCAGGATTGGTATTCGCGGGCTCCTGCGTGCAAGGGTTGATGTACTGGCGCGGGTCGAAGACAGATATTTGGCTCCACCTTGGGTGAAAGTCAACCGCTTGGTTGTCCGATGCCTTGATAGTCAAGCCATCTGACTCTATCATGTTCACCGCGCCAATAGTAATGAGATTGTGGATGGTCACATTTCCAAAATTGTCCTGAAGATCGATCAATGACTTTTGACAATCCACGGTTTGGACTAAAATCGTCGACAGTTAGCCAACTGTTCACTTCCAAATTCTCTTTTGTTTTGTTTTTTTTTAGAAAGGGAGGGAGGGGGGGACGAGCATACGGCATTCCTGAGTATAGGTATCAAACCACGAGTAAAGCCCAGCACCATGTATCATGATCTGACTAGAATTCAGGATACGGAGAGCCCATGATGAGTCACAGGTCTCTCCATCGTCACATTTGTAGGCCGGATCTCCTGGCATGGCTCCTACTGCGTTGTTAAATGGCTCAGGGGGGTTTGGCGTGGGCTGGTAGTATGGTGATTCAGTCTGGATCATTGAGGCAACAATTTTCTTGGCATTCAAGAATTCGTATTGATAGAAAGTTGCATGCTCAGATGCTGTGCCATATAGCCATGTCGCAGTCGTACTTTCGATAAGGAAGCCTCGGGCAACGAAGATCGAGCATTGTTTCTATCACAATGTCAATACGCGGTAAAGAATTTGATAGTTTGTTATGTGAAGAACGCATTTTGCGATCGCTACTGATTTCTTTACTTACCATAAAGTTGTTGTCGTCGTTCCAATCTGGATCATCAATATCACTATCATTTGTAAGTTTATCATGGCATGAAGCTGACTGCGGAACACGCCTTACTGGTCGGCGACCCATAGCCAAACATTTTCAAAGTAGCCAGATGCATCGGGTGTTATGTGCATGAGAGCGCTACCAGCCTTGCAGTTGTTATTTTGACTTCCAGCGGGGCACTCGTTAACTGTCAAGTCAGTACCGATAGCTCCTCCAACACGCACATGGCAATCTAGATATAAATGTATAAGTAAGTCTCAAATAAGTTTATGTCTCTTGCGGTTGGACTTACCCCACATGCCAGCTTTGCCTGCACCATCACCTCGTATGTTCCACTCTACAAATACGACTCCTGCGGTAGGTCCTTTTGAGGTGAATATGAGATCCTGCATCTCAATATTACCCCTCTGGCCCCTTTCGCCTACCTTAATGAGAGGTCGGGGATTTCTAGTTGACATTTTTGAGTAAATGAACCTCAGATATGGCATGTATCGTAACGCATCTGAATGGCTTATCTTACGTGGCATCCTCGAAATTTTCTCCATATGCAACTAATTGAGCCCAGTTTTCGCCGACGATTTTAGCATCGTTGGGTATAGTGATGGTGTCACTGATCATGTAGGAGCCCGCATCAAAGTAAATGATGGAGCTTGCCGCAAACGCGTCAAGCGCCTGCTGAATGCACTGCGTGTCATCATTTACGCCATCTCCTGAACAAATATTCGTGTTAGTTTCCTGAGTCAGTACGGAAATCCAATCGTGTCAGCATACCTCTGCACAATTGCTGAATATGATAAAATTGAGATCCGCCAGCTTCAGCATACTGGGGCTTAGCTCTCTCGAAGAAGGGCGCTTTGGGAAGATTCCAGGGATTGTCCCCGACTAAAGTCGGATCACGTTTGGTTGCAAAACTAGTGTGAAGTGACTCGGACTTCTCCTGGTCAACGTAGATACGGCCGAGGACGAAAGTGTCAATGTCTGAACCAGCGCTCAAATATGATGTACCAGCATTATCCACAACGCCAGATTGAGTGTTGATGAACTTGACATTGTCCAGGGTAAGGCCAGTCGTGCCGTCGCCTTTCTCGGCCGCAGCAGGAAAAGTCAAGATTGCCTTACCAACACCCTCAAAAACTGAATCAACGACGAGGATAGAGCCGGTGTTGTGCACTCCATCTTCTGAAAGCAGTTTGAAGCCCACGTCAGCATTCTTAATATAAATGCTCTTCCATGCCTGTAACAGGTAAGTTGCACAATTCAATAGAGGAAAGGAAGCAATGTAATTACCCAACCCCAGTCCCAGATGAGCTGAACCGCAGTGGTACACCCGTTAAAAGTGATTCTGTGAGCCGTGAACTGTTGGTTGCCCCCATCTAGCGCATTAAAGGTTAGTCTATAGTGGCAATGGTATGTTGCCAGTGATGTTGGATCCTTGAGAGCAGAATACTACTGGGCGAACTCACAAATTCCGAAATTACCACCATTGAAAACCAAATCACTCATAAAACCACCGCTACCGTTCTCAGCAACTGTAAGTATTAGCAAGACTATTCCAAGGTCTCAAGGACAATTCATTGTGGCTGACAGATGCCCTGTTGAGTAGTGCCAGTAGTGGCGCGGAACTCTACAAATTGCAGGCTCGTGGCTTGAGCGACTTGGTAGTGCAGTGCGCAGACATATGCGCCAGGATCAGTGGCCGTGATGTCAATGACAAAGTTTCTGATCTGGCGATAGAAGTTTGCCTGATACGAGGTCAATCGCCTGATTTTACCTTGGATTTTGATGATTCCTTACCGTGTTTATGTACCATTCCTTAGCATTGCCATCAGATCCTGTGCCTCCATTGTCAACATATTTGTCAGTAGAAATCACACCTAGGCCAACAAAAGATGACGCTGCCTTTATCACTGGACGATCTACAGCCTAGATGCTAAGTAAGTACGCGACCGGACTGGAAATCCCTCAACCACTTACATCACCGATGAATTGAGTGCCGTAATATGTCTCAATTGTGCCGCTGACAAGGTATGTACCTATACATGATGTAAATATATTGCAAATACGCCTGGCGTGGGAATTCAAATACATACCAGGTGGAAAATAGATGATAGCGCCCTTGGTCGTAGAGCTATAACAGCCTGGCCCACACATATCTCCATCCGAAACAGCTTTCCTGATTGCTTCGGTATCGTCCTTTCAATCATGTCAGTCATCGTCCAATACTTCCAGTGTTAGAGAGGTAGAGCCTAGGCAGTCACTCACAGTCACTCCGTCTCCCACAGCACCATATTTAGGATCCGTAACATCACGAAAGACTGTAAAGTCTCCATCGTTGTCCCCGAATGGCCATCCTCCGACATGAGCAATATTTCCGAGCCAAAACTGGCTTGGTCGATTCCGTTTCTCAAATAGAGCTCGTCGATTCAAAGTACCATTCTTGACTTCTGCGTAAGCATCTGCTTCGGCAATAAGGGCAGCCGCCGCAGCAATCTCGTCGGTAACATTGAATAGGGGAGGAGCGTCACCAGCATCATCACGTCTCCTTTTGGAAGTTTGGGTTCCGGGCTTCAGCTCATAATTGTTTCGGAGGGGCTTGTCGAGACGCGCCTTATTGTGATCAGCCGCTTGTTGGATGGCAGCCTTGACCAGGGCTCGGGCCTTTTCAATATCTGTTTGAGTTGCATTTGCTAAACGGGGAGGCTTTTCAACATCTGTATCATTATCCTGACGGGTAATGAGAACATGAGCTCGCTCAAGAGCAGCAGCCTTGATGTCTAAAGCCCGGTTGAGAGTGCCACCAGTGACACCGGCAAGTGCACTACGTGACAAGCAGTGGAAGAGTAGCAACGATAACACTACGAAGAAATTCATGACTTAGAGATACGGCTTTTCTACCAATTTGAGAATGTCGTTACATGAAACAGACAGGGCACCTTTGGATCCCATTTATATCATTATCCTCACTCATTTCTCATCTTCCACTGCGCGCCCCTAAAGCGTCCAAGAACACCCTGAGAAGACGACAGCCCTCAATGCCGCAGGCTCAATCCTGCTCGGTCTACCCACCCTCTTGACAGCCTTTTTTGGCTCGGCCAGTACCATGTTTAATTTTGTAGGATTCAATAAAGGTATGAAGGGTTGCATCAAATGAGACGATGCGTGATCAAGCAACTTCTTCGAGGTTGTAGGATGCTTTGTCAGGCATTATCCCAGCGAGACTTGTTAAAGTTGTGTCTTGGCATTTTATTACAAAAGGGAGAGCACCGATGTAGGATTATCGATAGCGTCTCATTCTGGCGGTCATGCAGTATGGAAATTACTTCCAGGACCCTGCTTCTCGACAGGGGCAGATTTTACTCGGGGTCCGTTTGGCTCGGATGTCGACAAGCTGAAGCGAGGGGTTACACGACATTACCTGGTCATCTCTGATGGATTCCTGGATGTAACCACGGACGGCGAAGAAGAACTAATAGGACCCTGCGCCAAGCCTCCAGTCCCTTTAAGCGCCACACCTTGCTTGACCGGGGAAGCGCGTGATGCTGAACCATCGCACCCGCCCTTTACCGTTACAATAAAACCAACAGTCAGCCTCGGCCCTTCGCCATCACCAGCATCCCCTCCTCATTTCACAATCTCACGCCACGAGATCTTAACCCCTGTTTATGTTCCAGCTAAATTCACTCTGCTGAAGCGCATTCTCGCGTTCATGTGCAGTGGGCCATGGCTCTCGGCCGCTCCTCCTGGTCTGTCTGGGCTCACTCGTTCCTTCGTGCCGCCTCGATAGTAGTCCTCTTTGTCAGCCTAGGCTTTTTGATATACTGTAGTGCAAAGTTCAGCGCGCACTTAGCAGCCGGCTACGTGGTGGTATGATCTGTTCTTCTTTCTGCTTGTCTTTCTCCCGGGCATGCAAGCTAATTAGTAAAGGATGTTCTTCTACTTGTTTTCAACATTTGCATTCTGATCCGACTCTGTGTCTCTATTTTCGGCAACAAGTCTCCACCTGGCCGCGCAGAAGCAGGATGGACTTCTGCAGCGGATATCATCACGATCATCCTGGCAATATTCGGTGGCATATTCATGATGCTCGCGTACGGACAGAACCGTGAGTGCGGTACCGATGACTGCGACCCCCTTCGTTCCTACCCTGCAGGGCCGTCGCGAGACAAGGCCGCCTACTTGCTATATGCTTTCGCGTATGTGGTGGACTTCTTTATGCCTATATGTTCTCATCTTACGACCTCTAACCTGCTTCTAGAGCCGTCACCTTCTTCTCGACGATTATCGACTTCGTTCAGTGCTGCACCAAACGCAAACCCAACCCCTCGGCTTCGGCTCAACTAGTAGCGCAAACCCCGTCCAACGATTGATTCTGTAATATTGGTGGCACACTAGATAATCGTTTCAACCCTGCTAGTCTCTGCCAGTTTCTATCTCAATACTTCAAATTTGCTTTACTTAGCAAACTCGTCGTTTCTCGTGGGCGAGTTGGCTGCGATTACTACTTGACCAGTGTCGAAGAAAAAGAAACTCATCATGATATTAAGGCCTCTTATTATAGCCGCAATGATAACTGAAATTCTCATATTAAAGGAAATTTGTCAACAAGGTTGGGTTTGACAAGCTTTGATAATAATATTTGAGAGAAAACCCTCAGAGCGAAGTCATAGTCTAATTCATATTACACTTACGATACATATTTAAGCAACAATACCGCATAAAATACTGCCTGAATCTTGATCTCGCCCATTTCCTTCTTCGTGAGTAGGTCGATGCTGCTACTGCTTTAACCTATATAGCGGGTGTATGGTCGGTAAATGGTCGGTGTATGGTGGGTGTATGGTAGGTGTATGGTAGGTGTGTTGACTATGGCATTATTTGAGAGTCTCAATCTACTATCTCAGTTGAAGTTGTCGTAAAGCCAAAAGTAAAACCAAGCCTTATAATCTTATAAAGGTTTGTTTTTAGACATTCTAATACTTTAGATATTTGCTTCTTTTTCTTTAATTATAAGCTGAAATCATAATATCATCAATGTATATATGAAAAATAGAAAAACCATACTCTAATATTAGAATTTAAGGTTTAGAAACATATCTATGGTATCAATAACCAAGAAGCCAAAGAGACGTTCTTTATCATAAAAGTCTCCATCCTCTATATGCAGAGGGTCGTCTCTGAGAGTGTCGTTAACCGCCCCTTCCTATGTGTAACGATATTATGTAGCCACCTGGCTAGGTGGCTAGGTTGGAAAAGGGGCTTTATAGGTGGCGACCACCTGGCGACCACCTGGCATCTATACCTTATCTCGGCTACGTGGCCTACGGCCACCTACTTAGACCTGTAGCCTTCAACACACGTTCTATGCCTACGGAGCGTTAGGTACATAAGGGACCAGTTTCCTTACACTATAGCTTGACTTCTTTACTATTCTGTGTGCCTGACAAGCTCTCGTCTACGCCAATATAATGATCCTATTGAGTCAACCAACCAGAGTCAATGCGATATGTTGTGGTTGGAGACTCTTCACTCTCACCAGCTGGCCACCCAGGTGGCAAGGCTATAGCCTAATCACTACCTTAGCTATATAATCTCTGATAGGTTTTACCTGAGGAACCAAACCTCTAAGAATCAACCAACTAAATGAAACACCACTTGAGGGAACAACTCGATAATGTATTACATGAGCGTTTTGATAAAGCCAAGTAGTTTCGATAATAAGAAGACAACCTATATGTCTCCTATTAGTGGTGGCTCTCTTTTGATCGGCACCATTCTAGCTATTTTCCTTCTAGAGAAGTTTAGACATTGTTTCTAGGCTAATACCATGCTTTCTACCTTCTTCGTCAGACTGGCCATCATTGGCGGTAGCTACTATATCTTAGTTGAGACAAACCTAGAAGGTGTCGAAGCCTGACATCTCATTGGTCTTATCCTATATATAAGATTCCTCGGCTGCTACACCTGTCTCACATGGGTGGTCCCATCAGAAATGTACCCGACCTACTTGAAGTCTTACGGCATGACCACGCCCGACGCACTGCTCTTCCTGGCCTCTTTCTTCGCTATTTACAACTTCTCTGCCATACAGGAAGCTATGACACTGATAGGCTTGGCACTGGGTTTTATGGCGGAATCGCTACGATAGGCTGGATTTACCAACTGCTGTTTATGCCGAGGACAATGAACAAAACCCTTGAGGATCGATCTCCTCTTCCAGAAGCCAACCAGGGAGATTGTGGCTGAGAACGTCAAGAATATGACCAAGAGCCTGGGAAGTTGCCTTAGACGACGGGGACGTAAACCTGAGAATACCGTCCCGGAGGTGCCCGAGGCCGGGAACGAGAAGACTGATGTTGTAGTATATATGTGATGGAGGTCATTATATTTTGGTTATGAGGTGGCCAGTCTATAGGTCTTGTAGCTCGTAACTATTCTCTTATTGCAACGAATGGCTATGGAGATACATAAAAGAACAACAGGGGATCTACTCTTCGTGGACTACCAATTTAACGGTGACAAACCCTCATGTCCTATCGCTAGCGCTAAATCCTGGTTTTCTAAAGAACGTGAAGACTTGGGTTGTTGGACTACTTCCACCACTTTTCACTTTCATAACTACTATTGTATTTTTGATTCCCTAGGTTTTGATATTACTACCCGAGGTCTGAGGTGCTGCCTCTGGGCTGCTAGACTCCCGCTCAGGAGGATTTGAGCCACAAGCCGTAGTTTCGGGAAACATTTTCTATAAACACATAGTGAGTAGCAATAGAGTGCAATTTTCGGAATCGAAGGAGTTGGACCTACCATAATGAGCGGTAAATATATTGTCTGTATCACTCCACGGACACCTATGGTAACTGGGATTACTGAGTCCAACTGGCTTAACTAGATCGACACAACCATTACAAAGACAAGTGGCAACATAAGAGTTCCGAGCTTACTCATCGGATATCTTCCCGCCGCAGAAACAGCACCAGCACGCAATAACTCTACGCCAGAACGCGAACCAGATGGCGAGCCTGCTGATGAGCTTCTGCCACATCCAGATTTATACAACATAACCTTTGTTCTGTTTGACGCCCTTGACGCTCAAGTTCTTCCATACAAGCATCGACACTAAGCCCACAATCCAAGTTGCTGTACGAGTAATCAGCAGAAATCGGAATGTGTCTCCATATGCATGCTGAATTGCCAAACGGATAGGTGAGCCCCACTCATACGTCAACTGCTCCTCAATGGAACTGTAGATAGTCGTAAGGTTTCCTTGAGCCTCTGGGGGAAGGTGCAAAGCCAGTTTATCGGGGAGCGTGCCCTGCCAGATGGCAGCAGAGATTGTGTAGCCAACAGCATTGCCGATATAGCAGAACATATAGTAATGGCAAAGTATTGCTGCGCGCCAGCGGCAGCCAAAATACCAATTTCAACCGTGAGCATCAGTATACCAAACCCAAAGTTAAGGAAGATATTGCACATGGCAATGTAACCCACGTACTGGGAAGGCTGGCGAAAATATATGAGCAAACCTGTACCCAAAATGATTAGAGGGAAGGCGATGAAGACGCTGATCGGTTTATATCGGCCAGTATATGAGATCATTGCACCAGCAGTAATGTTTGCAAGGATTTGAACGACCGTACCAGATTGAACGATATAGGATGTGTTGGTAACGCTCAAGCCATTCACCACTTGCAAGAACGAGCTAAAATATCCATTCCAGCATGAGCTACTCTGGAAGAGCACAAAACCCACCATGCAGGTGCCGAGGACGGTGCGATCTTTCAGTGTAGCCCATGGAGTAATACAGATGCGAGCAAAGAACCGTTCCCATATGACAAACACAGCGATGAATAGAACTCCGAAGACAAGGAAGCAAATGATGAGTGCGGAACCCCAACCCTCGCCTTACATCGTGTAAAGGTTGAACGGCAGGAGCAGGAAGGCAAAACCAGCAGAGAGAAGTAGCAGCCCAACAACATTAAAGTCGTGGACATAATGTAGTACAGACTGCAGCAATGTACGACCAGCCGGCGTCCGTGCTGGAATAACTCCCTGTCTCTTGGCCTTCTTATAATAATGCATGAAGATTCCAAAAAGAGGGAAACCAATTCCTGAAGGAGGATACTCTCCATGCCGAAGGCCCACCGCCAGCCCGATCCGTTGAGAAATGAGGTAGAGATTGAGCCTGCGAGCCATGATGTAATTATCTATGGCGAGTTGAGTAGGGCTTGCGTGAGACCTCGATGGCGGAGCAAAGATGTATCCGCGATGAAAACACTGAGACAGTATCCGAGACAATTGATTCCGACTATGTAAAAGACTTGAGACGCGGCACATACCTCTACGCCGTTACAAGAAGCCGCCATAATGAGTCCGAGGGTGGCGATGATTACGCACAACAGGAAGCCAGAATGTCGACCCAAAACACCCAGAATTTTCGCAATGCACAGGTTCGCGATACCCCCGATGACCTGGCTTAAGACACCAGTGGTAGGAATGAGCGAGTGTGCCGCAAAGTCGGACGTGACATAGGGAAGCAAAGCTCCGCCGACTCCGATGACGATCCCTTGGACAAAGTAGACGCACCAGATCACGGAGTAGGCGACGATCAAGGCCTTCAAAGTCCAAGCAATTGTGATAGCCTCAGCCTTCTGCACACTCTCTTGGAAGTTGGTATCGAGCGTGTTGTCGTTTGGGGCGTTGCCATGAATGATGGCCATGCTGTGCTTAACTTCCGAGTCCGAGGCTTGCTCTGAGTTATGAACCATGCCGTCTTCTTTGGTGCCGACATCGCGCGGAGGGAAGCCGGCTGTCAGAGGATTTTTGGATGCCATTGGTGTGGTATGCTCTCCGTGGCGGCTTCTTCGTTTTCTTGTTGTGCTCTTGATTGGGGTGTGATTCGTGTGATTGTTGGCGCTTTCGTCGTTCTCGCGCTTCTTCGAGTATGGAAGGGCTTGCCTCGTGTGAGGTAACTAGGTGGTTGAACACGCGAGAAAAAGAAGCAGGGGAGAAAGAGCGTACGGTAAAGGGCAAACGATACCGGATAACAAGGCAAGGGTTGTTATATAGAGAGGAGACAAATGTGGAGTGTTCTCCAGAGCTGAGGATTCTCGAGCGTGAAATTTAGATTCAAGATCTGGGCTATACTTCGCGTCCGCGAGATGCCCACAGTTTTGAAAACCCATCTCACTGAGGTACCACGCTGCACGAGACGACGAGTGTGCGGACGCAATGCAGTGGCAACGCCCCGTCAAGTCCTCCTCGGAGGGTGACATTGTCCGATGTACGTGACTAGATCAATACAGGACGTTTCTTATGTCTCCCTTAGATAATTTCCAATGCAGCAGGGTTACAAGAGTGCAGGCCAGGCCCTCGCGTCCCTTCGCCTCTTCTAGGTTGAACCAATCTGTCTTCTTCAGACTGACCAGGTGTTTCCGCTCTTCGGCCTTCTTCTTGACCAAGTGTCGTTGTTTTTCATCCGTCCCATTAATGAACTCTGCAAACTCGTCACAAAATTCGAAGTCCATGACGCGGACGAACACGTTGGTCGCTGCAATGACAAAGACACTGTGATAATGTCAGCCCTCGGATGTCAGGATGCTGTAATGACTATGACTGGGCACTGATGATGGCCATCGCATCGTCCGCCACGACCCACGGCCCGTCCCCGTCCCGGCTCATTTGTCGAATGCCGCCGTCGTCTCGAGACTCCATCCTGCTGCTCATGCAGTGCGGCACGACGATGGTCCGCGACGCAGGGTCGTGGCGCAGCTGGACCTCCTTCCAATCCCACTTCGACTGCGCCCAGCACCGGTTCAGGACGTAGTTGATGAATGCCTGCAGTAGCCGCAACGTCGTGCCTTCTGCCAGGTAGCAGCGGTCGTCGAAGCTCTCCGCGGCATCGGCCTCGGGCTGGGACTGGGAAGCTCCGGTCCCTCCTGTTCCGCCTCTCCCATCTCCAACTCGTGAAAGTCCACCTCCTCTTGGCTGTCGGAGACGAGAAACGCCGTTTGAAATGGCCTTGTTGCTTCCGCGTAAGCCCTGACCAGGTCACTAATCTACGGATCCACTGTTTGGTAGATCTGGTGAAGAGACTGAGTATCAGTCACTTTCGGGAAGTCCTACACGAGAGCCTTGATCGCAGACGGAACGAGATTATGGCAATCCGCCCCTGGGGCGTCGGGACGGCAACAGTAGCAGTATTCCTGATACCATGGTTTCAAAAAGGAAAGTTGCTTGGTGGTTCTCGGGAACTCATACAGCTCAAAGAACCTGATGTGTTCTACGCCCCATCGGCTCGTAGAGCATGCGAGGAGTGTGCTGCTCGAAAGGCGTCTGACTAGGACTGGGCTGTCATCCGTAGCTTCTTCCATCTTAGCGGAAAAGTGATATGAGAAGTTCAATATGGATAGGATTAAACCTCGCTTGGGAGAGTCTTCAGATTTAGACTACCTTAATAAGCTACCTAGGTATGGGAAGTGGTAGCTGACCAAAATTGAGAGATATGAGGCGCAAATCGTCAAATACGACTACAGAGCTTTGAAAGTGCAGAGGCAGGAGAGAAAGACAGTATAAAACAAAGAAACATTACGATACATATGCAACTTAGATCCTAAGGTTAGCTACAAAGCCAAAAAAAGACTATAAAGCTCTGAAAGTACAGAGGCAGGAGAGAAAGACAGTGTAAAACAAAGAAACATTGTGATACATATACAACTTAGCTCCTAAGGTTAGCTGCAAAGCCCCAAGGCAATTACTGGACTCAACTTGTAGCAATATTGTATATACATTGACAGTAGTACCTTGATTCGCTCATAGCCCGAATGTTCAAGGACATATTGATTCTGCTATTTGCTGTTGTGTCTGTTTGCAACAAAAAGAATTGCCAAC